GTTGGTGTGTGTGTGTGTGTTGGTGTGTGTGTGTTGGTGTGTGTGTTGGTGTGTGTTGGTGTGTGTTGGTGTGTGTTGGTGTGTGTTGGTGTGTGTTGGTGTGTGTTGGTGTGTGTTGGTGTGTGTTGGTGTGTGTTGGTGTGTGTTGGTGTGGTGTGTGGTGTGTGTGGGTGTGTGTGGGTGTGTGTGGGTGTGTGTGGGTGTGTGTGGGTGTGTGTGGGTGTGTGTGGGTGTGTGTGGGTGTGTGTGGGTGTGTGTAGGTGTGTGTGGGTGTGTGTGGGTGTGTGTGGGTGTGTGTGGGTGTGTGTGGGTGTGTGTGGGTGTGTGTGGGTGTTGTGGGTGTGGTGTGTGGTGTGGTGTGGTGTGGGTGTGGGTGTGGGTGTGGGTGTGGGTGTGGGTGTGGGTGTGGGTGTGGGTGTGGGTGTGGGTGTGGGTGTGGGTGTGGGTGTGGGTGTGGGTGTGGGTGTGGGTGTGGGTGTGGGACTGTGTGTGTGTGTGTGGGTGTGGGTGTGGGTGTGAGTGTGAGTGTGAGTGTGAGTGTGAGTGTGAGTGTGGGTGTGGGTGTGGGTGTGGGTGTGGGTGTGTGTGTGGGTGTGTGTGTGTGTGGGCGTGGGCGTGGGCGCGTGCGCGCGCGCGCGTGCACGCGTGTGCGTGTGCGTGTGCGTCTGTGTCTGCGTCTGCGTCTGCGTCTGCGTCTGCGTGCGCGTGTGCGTGCGCGTGTGCGTGTGGGTGTTTGTCTGTGTGTGTGTGTGACTGTGTGGGGGTGTGTGGGTGTGTGCGTGTGTGTTTGTTTGTGTTTGCGCGTGCTTGTGATTGTGTGTGTGTGTTGTCTTCGTTTGTGTTTGTAAGATTGCGTGTTTGCGTTTTGTGTGTCAATTTTGCGCTTGTGCCCTTGTGCCCTTGTGTGTGTGTGTGTTTTGCTTTTGTAAGCTTGCCTGTTCGTGCATGTCAGTATGTGTTTTTGTGTGTGTGTGTGTGCTTGAGTGGTTCCATGCCTGCGTGCCTTGTTCTGGGCTTGCGTTTTGGCATTGTGTGAATGTGCATGCTTGCGAGTTTTTGTGTGTGTGTGTGCGTGCGTGCGGGCGGGCGGGCGGGGTGTGTGTGTGTGTGTGCTCGTGTCATTGCTTGACCCTTTTTGCTTGTGTGCTTCTGTGGGTTTGCGTGCTTGTGCACGTGCGCGTCCCGAGTCCACGGGACCCGTCCTGCCTAGAAGAACCGGCCACCGCGGGTCTGCGTGTGAGCGCTGGGGTGAGAGTAACCGCCTGGGGCCGCACCTTGACCGTAGCCAGGCACACCGCTGTAGCCCTGCTGCTGCTCCCAAGGCATCTGAGGCATGTGGATGTTCTGCAGGAAGCCAGCTGACTGGTCCTTTGGTGTGCCAACACCGCAGAAGCTTGAGCGCTGGAGAATGACTCTGGAACTCAAAAATCTTCATCGGTGAGCTCCTCTTTCCTTACCCTATAGTGAGCACCCACCAAAAAAAGACCAACAAACAATGCAGCCAGCAGCCAGACAAGCCTTGCGGCATCTTGCGCTTTCCAGTCGAAAGCTGAATCAAGGCAACAATGCTTTTCGAGCATCTGCACCCCGCACATAAAGGATACAGCGCAGGGAATTTGGAGTTGCCCAAGTTGGTTCCAGGCTGGGTTGAGGATTGTTGAGGTAGGTTTCGATGCCTCCGAACCACTACCGAATTCAATCCAGTCCCACGCTGGGCTACTGGATGCCAAAACTGCGCGAATGTAAAAGGACAGCTTCCAGCTATGACTTAGCCCTACTGCATCTTGAAGGTGCTGCATGTTGCATCAGCTGGTGCATTGCACAAGGAAACATGCGCTTAACCATGAGCCATGACATCCAAACCAGCAGCTGAGCAATGCAGCACTTCAGCAAAGGCACTGCTGCAGGATTCATCGGGCCATACCCTGCTCCCTTTGCCTGAGATACCTGGGCAAGTTGGCAAGGAGGCACAAAAGCACAAACTCGTCCAGCCTGGCACCCTTGAGGGAAACTCTCAAAGCTTGGTGCATCAAGCTGTTGTAGATTTGCGAGCGTGCGACGTACTCATGAGCAAAGCAAGACACGGGAGCGGCATGAGCTGCAGAGTGGAAAAGGAATCTCACCTATCTTGATCAAAACCAGCCGAATTCCCCCTACGCAGTCACCCTGCATTGCGCCAGGGTCAAAACGGTTTGATCTGCTGGACCAATTCGGGAGGGCTCCCAAAACTCCAAGCTCCCGGGCCTGCGGAGATCCGCGGAAGCCGCCGCCGCGTCGTTTCTCGCGCTCCTGTTGCACTGAGAACGGGGGCGAGAGGTGGGCTGTGAATGGATACGATACATCAAAACACGGCACTGCTCAAGACTAAACGGCTACCATGTCACAAGTATATACTGTTGAATGTCTGTATTGCATATATATATATATATGTGTGTGTGTTTATGTGTTATATGTGGATCTAAACTGTTCCTACGCACCTAAAGAAAGACATGCTCCTCTATCCTCTTTCACCGCCCTCATCTAGCTTGGCCCCAGATTGAAGGACAAGTATTTACACGTTGTGGCACGACCCAGGGGCACATTAGCCAGCCAGCGCCTTGAGGCCCATCCAAATCGCAGCCCCAGCCACGGCCATGCACATCACGATCGCGGCCCAAATCAGAAGATAGGCCCAGAAGGGCCATTCTGCAGGGGAACAGGATGCAATATTAAACTGTCTTTAAAATAATTCTAATAATAATAATAATACTTGTTGAAAAAAGATGAACAGCTTGTCCTCAAGCTTGCACAAGTGTGCGGACGCTTGGCTATGATTTGCTGAACAAGTCAACCCATGCAAGTAGACCCACTGCTTTGTCGCCCGCGCGCTCCTTGCACTTCCGGCGGCTTTGCTCCAGCAAAGCCCGGCACTACCAAGGACACCTCTTTTGCCACGGGGGTCGCCGTGGGGATGGGCGACATCAAGCCGATGCAGTTGTGCTGAATCATCTCCCCAGCCACGATGTCCGCCGCGGCCTCGCTGTGCAGATTCACGGAGCGGAAGGTGCCAGTCGTGGTGAGGGGGTAACCTACCATTCCCTTCTGAGGCATCTCCAGGAAGCAGCCATAGGTCTTGGAGTACTGCCAGAACTGGCAAAGCAAGAAGGATCGACATTCCAGTTTGCAATGCTTCGCTCCGTCTTCCCAGTTGCTGTAGACAGTACCGCCTTGATTGAAAGTTCGTGTCAGACAAGCATGTTCGCACAGGCATGCTCTCAGTTGAGTGCTTGTCCCAGGCAAACAGCAATGCAAGAGCTGACAATTTACACAGCTGCCCGCTGGGCGTTGGATTGGGAACACTTTGCCAACATGCCGCGTCGCCAAAGCTATTGTGCAGGCCCAGGATCTGCACGCCAGCTACTTGCATCAGCACTCGGTAGGTGCCGTGCTGGAGCCTCTGGGCTCTTACCGGTGTGAGTACATTCTCGTCGTCGCCATAGCCTCGGGAAACAAAGCAAATAACTTTGTTTGGGGCTTCCACCAGGGCCAAGCCAACATGATCCCATTGACGATGCAAGCAGCAATTGGTGCCGAGCATGCCGTTCCAGCACGTGGAGGCTCCGTAGGGGTCGCTGGTGGATTCGATTGACCAAACGGAGCATAATGGAGACATCATGCAGCGCATTTGGCATGTCTCACCGTCTTTCAGGTCGGTGATCTTGACCATGCCTTCGCACCGACCAGGCCATCCATCCTCGGTGAACGTGCCACAGGAACTTGGACAAATGTGCTTGTAGCCCTGTTTGGCCCAGCAGCCTCGGTGTCCTCCAACACAGTGGCTGTCTGGTTCCGGCAGCGCATGAGCTGTCCATCCGTCCTCCTGGCATGGCATAACAACCCTGCGAACTTCATGAACGCACACACACACAGCAAAAGAACTTCAAATGAAGATATGGAGATGTGGTTGAGGCTGAACCGGAGGCATATATGGCTCGCGGCAACGTGCTGTCGACCCCAGCTTTTCTTCAGCAGCACCAGCGTTGGGGAGACAAAATGGGGAAACCAATCTCGCAGGGCCCAGCCCTGCGCATTGCTCGCGGCACGCTCCTTGGCCAGCACTGCAGGGGCGTGGGCTGGACGCCCCCGGGCCACGCCTTCATGGTCTCCAGCGGCGTCTCCGCCGGGAAGGACGAGCCCGGCAACTCCGTGCAGCCCTGGGCAGTTTTACCCATCTCTTCTGTAAACACCAGGGCGTCTCTTTTGAGGCTACCCTTCTCTTGGGTTTGATTTCAAGGGATCACCGTCCTTGATCAACTGATCGGGACACCTTCCCCATCAGGACCTCGACTAACGTCCTCACCCACTGCAACAACAACACAATACCAAAAGGCATCTTCCACCCACATATAAATTGAGAGAACCAGGGATGAAGGGACGAAACCCTCAGCTGGCTCAGGGCACGCGTGCCAATACAGGAAGGCCAACATCGATGACAGCAAACCGGAAATCGAGTAGGCCACGGCCTAGAAGCCTGCCTTGTTCAATTCTGGACATTCTGCAGGTCCCGCAACTGCCCCGTCTGCAGCGTAGAGGATGCCTTCCGAGCTGCCTATGTAGCACGAGCCGCTGACAGGGTAGTACCCGAAGTGGGCGCAGCCATTGGTGTTTCGGCACTGCAACTGACACCTGGGCAGGGGATTTGACCAGAGAACTTGACCTGTACATCACGGGGGCGGTGACCCCACCCCCAGCAACAAACATAGTTGGCAAGAAAGAAGAGGTTCCCAATGTAGTCCCTCCCTTCACCATGCAGGGCTCACCGGAGCTGAAGGCAAGTGGGTAACAAGCGGAACCCCTTTAGGTGCCACATGCCAAGACACTCATAGGCAGAGACCTTGGAGAAGGGATTGCCAGAAACGTTGGCCAAAGGATTTGTGAAAGCAAAGCCGTAGTGGTAGCAGCCCACTGGCTCCGCCAGTGCTGGGGCCAGCCTCAGAGTGAGCCACCCCGATGATGAAACACGCACGTGCAGAAGTGCAGAAGAAGCAAGAAACAAGGATGAGGAGGAAGAAGAAGAGCAGCATCATCATCATCATCATCATCATCATCAGCAGCAGCAGCAGCAACGACACAGGTACGAAGGTGACGAAAACGAGCAAAAGCAAATCTTAAAAGAAGAAGCAAAAGACGACGAACACAAACAAAGAAACAGCCAGCTGCTAGAAGAAGAAGAGGAAGCGAAAGCAGAAGCAGAAGGAGGAGGAGGAGGAGAAGGAGAAGGTAAAGGGTAGATCTGAAGAGCAAAAACTCAGACAAAGAAAAAGAAGAAAAGGAAGACATGCCCTGTCCAGGCGGCAGGAGGGCCAGGAGCGCCCTCAGCCGCCCCATGGGGAAAACCGATCAAGCTCCCCCGTTTGATCTCACAATGCCTCCAGGCCCAGGGCGCGGCATGCGGGTGTGCTGTCGCAACGACCGACTAGTTGCTTCCAGAAGGAGCGCACACCAGCAGTTCCAAGTCGATAAGCACACATACACACATTTATCCCAAAAACAAACTCCTGAAATGTTGCTAACTGCCCAAGCTCGCTGAAATGCGTCCATTGCTCCCAGTCCTGCACCGTGGGGGCCTCACACCTGGACGGACCTTGGAGGTCAAGCATTCAACGGCCTTCAACCGAAGATCTGCGCAGAATCCCCCCTCTGTGAAAAACGTGCGGCTGCAAAGGAAACGGAGCGGACGTGGGCGCGCCTTTTCCCCCGCGGATCTGCGGCCCCGCAATCTGGCTACCTGGCGGCCTGACTGGTGGGCCTCGCAGCCGCCTGCGTGCCGCGAGCTCTGAGTCGCACCTTGTCCACCTGCGTCCCGAGAAATGGGTCGCACCGCAAGACCCCGCCATTGCCAAAGGGCAAGTTTCTGATTCAACTGGCATCCATAGCATCCCAACCCCAGCCCATTCCCCCGCAGAGGCACCAAGTGCACTGAACGTACCGAAGGCTGCCTACTGGATCTGCCCGCGATCGCCCGCCTGATTGAGAGAAGCTTCTGGTCATAGGCTCGAGGTCCTGGCCGCCATCAGCCACAGAACTCAGATCCAATGCAAAAAAGGGTCCCCCAGCAAAAAACTCGGCGAGGAAAAGGCCGAACTGCTTCGTCCCCGTCCTTTGCCTCATGGAGGTGCCACATCGCCCCCCAGTGGCAGGCCGGTCGGTTTGGCCGCGTTTTGCCAGAGCTGCCATTCCGTGCTTACCTTTGGGCAGGAGACAAAAATAATGTTGACAATGACAACCAGTCGATGTGTCACAAAAGCTTCAACTGTGCATTGAGGCACCCTTTGTGAACACAACTCAGCTTGCAAGTCATGGGTGGGGATGTTCAATCGCTTGCCAAGTCGCTTGAGTGTTGATGAAGCGCCACTTCACTCCAGCTTCCTTGGCATCTGCGCACTTCTTCAAGACAGCTCGTGCAGGCGGCTGCGGCCTGTAATCCAGGCAGCGCTCGAAAAAGCGCTTGCGCCCGTTGTCCTCCCAGCCGCGCATCAGCTGGACCCAGCCAGGAGAATCCACAATGGCAAATCGTTGCTTCCTTTGAGCCTTTGGCTCATGACAGGGGTAAATAATAGGGTGGTTGTCATTGCCAGCATCGAAGCAAAAGCCGGTGGGGATGTGCTGCACCTGCTGCCTGCCCTTCAGTTCGCGAAAGCGCTGGTCACTTTGGTCACAGCTTGCGAAGCTGAGCTGCGTCTCAAATTCCTTGCCCCTCTTGGCCGACAGGCACTTGCCCAAATCAGCATCCCGCAAGAGGAAGGATCCATCAGGATGCACATCATGCCTTTGGATGCGCTGTCCTGGCTTGTTGCTGCAGGCTGCCAGCGTCAAATGCCCATGTTCAGGCAGATCATGCAGACTCAACTTGTCTTTCATGTCTGCACACTTGGATCTATACCCCCCATCCCACACCAGCTTTCGGTTGGTGATGCTCCATGCTTGGTTTCGATTGTCATCAGGGTAGCACGCGTACGGCAGAATGTGTTCGCCTTGCCCTGCATCTAAGCAAATGTTAGTGTTCAGCAGCTGCAGCTGCACACCATCCCCATAAGTTTTGGTGGCAAATACTTGCCCATCCTTGTCACACTCCTGCAAATCCAGCGTCACTCTCTCGGGATCTGCGCCATCCACCGTCACGCAGAGCAGGGCCTCCCCTTGGACCTGAAGACGGACGCCTGAGTCCACCTCTTGCACCTGAAGCCTGCAGCTGCTCAAGGCCTTGTTGTAGACATCCACCGCGGGCTCCGGTGTGGTGGGCGCCAGGCACTCCAGGCCGTTCCGCCACACCAAGCCTTCCGGGCCCAGCCGGAAGTGCTGGTGCGCGTTGTGACCCCCGATCTCGCACTCCTCCGTGGCTGCGGGGGTGCCGTGGCCCCCGGCACTGAGGCACTGCAGGAAGTTCCAGTTCATGAGACCACTGCAGCAGGAACCGTCCCTGCTGCGGTCCCGGTTGCCGGGGTGCCACAACTGGGTTTCGATGGGCCCCTTGTTCTCCTCACCCACGCAGGGCGACAACACGATGCCATGGCTCCGCGTCTCCTTGGCTTCCCTCTCCAGGCACAGGCCCGTGGACACCTCCTGAATCTGGAAAACCTTCTCAGGAACAAGGCCGCCATCCAGGTATACGTAGGAAAAGCGTTGGATGTATGAAGAGAAATCTGCGCACTTGAGCTTTTGTCTCAGCTCATTGAAGTTGCTCAAATCGCCAATGGAATTTTCACCATTGAAAAACTCATCGTACTCTGGGAATGTGAACGTCTTGTTGGCGAATGGACCCAGCCAAGCTGATACTGCGCGTGCTTTGTTTCTCATCACATCCTCCGTTTTCATCGTGTACTTCAGTTGTGTCTTCGGATTGTTCGCGTCACGCCACATATGCGCCACAAAAGCGCCTTCTGCCACCTCAATGCGGCCTCCGCAAAGCCAGCTCCTCAGCGACTGATCGATGTTCTCACCGCCCCAAGCCACCATGCGGTCATCGTATCCACCAGTCTCCTGCCACCAGCGCTTGCTCAGACCCAACAACCCCCCGCTCATGATGGGCACATCGCGCCCGGGGTTCATGAGCCAAGTGAAGTCCGCGTTCCAGGTCATGTAGCAGGCCTGGCTTGTAGCGCCCGCTGTCTCCTCCCAGGTGTCGGGGTTCAGCGCAGTGATGGTGGGCACCACCATGGTGCGGTGGTCCCCAGCGCGGTGCATCTGCCTGAGGAAGGCCTCCTCCCATCCGTCTCGCGGCTTCACGTGGCAGTCGAAGAACACGATGACGTCCCCCAGGGCCGCATCTCCCCCCGTCTTCTTGGCCGCGATTAGCCCCAGGGTCTTGGAGTGCCTCAATTTGTCGCCGGTGAATGATTGATTGATCGATCAATGGGTTGAGTGATGCGAGCAAGGACAACCGAATGTTGAGCGAAGCTTGGAACTGGCTGAGGCACAAGACCTGAAGCCATCTTCAATTATCGAAATGCCCCCTTCTTTTCACAGTAGCGGAAGCCAACCAACCGACGAGCTGCTTTGAAGGTCCCACGCACGTGTGCGCCAAAGAGGCAAACACGGATGCGTTCTTCCTTGAGGGCACCTTTAGGTTTGTTTGGAGGAAATCAAAAAGGAAGCCCGCCATTCTTGACACAAACTCAAACATCGCTATTCTTGATGTACGAGATGTTCAAAACCACACATGCCGCAGGTCCAAACCCAAAAACAACTGCGAAAGCCAGCCTCAGCAGCCGCACCGCCGGCTCGGATGCACCGCGCAGCGCCGGGGGGCCGGATCCTGCGGTCACCTGCAGCGGCTCCGGCAGCTCCAGCTCCAGCTTTGGGGAGCTGCCGTCCTCCGAATGTCTCGGGGAGAGGGGGGGGAACGGGGGGCTGCACGGGCTCACGAGCTGAGAAGTCGCCTTCTCTTGGGTATGAACTTTACGAGTTGGAATTTGAGTGACATAAAACATGTGGATGTTGGCCAACTATGCGGGTGTTGCTCCTGTAAATTCACGGCCACTCGAGGCTCGTGGAATGGGAGCCAGCAAGGTGGCAGCTCTTTTACAAGATGCGCATGTTGGATGCATGACGCATACATGGGGACAGTTTCCGAATGACACTCGCCAAGAGTCGTCCACCACAATGATCTCCTTCAGGCGATTTTTCTTGGTGTGCCGCCAAACCTTGGAGCCACGACCAGGATTTCATTAGCGTCTCCGTCGGCTGAAATGTTCGCAAACATGATGTCTGGCAGTAAAACATTGCCAGCCTGACCAGTCAAGCCAAGGCAACAGGCCCAACGCCTTCCCAATGCCAAGTCGCCGACTCCACCGTCCTGGAGGCATAGAGGCCCTCATAGGCACAAGGCAAAACCACGCTGAAGGTCTCTCCAACCCAGCGATCGTTTGGAAGGCCGAGGCTGGCGTCCTGCCAACAAAGCACCGCCTGCCTCTCATGAACGGTAACTCCTGTGGCTTCTGACATGCGATGCAACCCCTGAAATAACAAGGCTGCTCACTTGAAATTTAACCTGTCCACTATACAAACGGAGCCAAAGTATTGGCGAGTATGCTTGCACACGATTCTGCCAATCGGCGATTGCGAGCCTCAACCCTCCGGCCGTTTCAACCAACGATGCGCGGAGCCTTTGGGTCGGCACCAGCCTGCAGCTGGATATGCTCCACCTTTACCTTTGGCTCCCAGTGCAGCGGCCTGCCCTCGTCCTGCGACAGGGCGAAATGACCAAAGTGTGGCTGACTTGTGGCCCCACCGCGCATTTAGTGGAAGGAGGTCTTCCCTTGTTGCGCTTGCCACACGCTGCGCCGTGAGGCGCCTGCTGCGTTTGGGCTCCTAGGTTGGATGTGAACCCTGTCCATCCGCAGATGCTGCTGGCGTTTTCGTGGTGCTTTGGATGCCGGTTACGTGGTGTCCCAGTGGTGTTCCGGTGGTGTTGTGGTGGTCTCACGCTGGTGTTTTGGTAGAGTCCCAGCGCTGTCCCGGATGTGTTTCCGGTGGTGCTTTGGAGGTGTCCCAGTGGCGTCCCCGTTGCGTTTGTGTGCGTTGTTACTGCTGCGCCGGATGCGCTGCTGGCTAGGCTTTGCTGGTCCTAGTTATGTTGTTGCTGCTGGAGCGTGAGGCATTGCCCGTTTTGTTGGGAGGGCGCGCCACACGATCCCCGTTTCCTAGAGCGGCCCGTGGTCAAGCTACACCCAGGTCCAGCGTCTCCACATACGAGGCACCCATCAAGAAGCAGCTGGCTACCAAAGCTGTGCACCACTTCACGAGGCCCTGGGGCGGTCGGGGCTGATAGACAACAATCAGCGGTTCCCCTCAAAACAGGTAGCGGGGTATTGAAATGCCTTTGGTTTCCGTTTGGTTTTCTCTTTAACACAAAGCAAAAAATGCAACCGTCAGAAAAGAAACTTCACATACATTGCATTTACAATCATATGTTTGTATATATGTGCATATATGAACTTGTATAATACATATCTGTATATATATATATATAGAGACACTCATACTGCATGCACCCATGGCCAATTTGCACCGCCTTTGGCACCGCCGCCGCGATGGCCAGGCCCAGAGCGCCGGACAGCGCCAGCACAAGAAGGCTAAAGCGGTTCACTATGCATTGCACGCCCACCTCGCCAAACCCATCGGTCGCAAACAGAGCCGTGGCCGCGCCGAAAACCCCCCCCACTCGAGGCATTCGAGCAGTTCAATGGTTGTGGGAGAAAACATCGTGTCCGCACGGCCAAGTTCTGTTCTCATCAATACTATCACTTTAAGGGGATTCCGTTTGTATCGCTGATGCTGGCAAAACAGCCCCATTGCCTCCACACCATATGCCAAGCCCTGGCACCCCCCAATTGCAAGAAACGAAAACCAAACACTGACTTGTCGTGCCAAGACAAATTATAGAACGGGCCAAACAGCCGAAAAAGGTCAACTTCCAACCCTGCAGTAAGCGCGCTTTTCTTGAGCCACGCCAGTGAGACACTCATGCAATTGGGGTTGATGAGGTTGATCAATACATCACATGGTAAAATACACCCCCCGTTTCTGGAGAAAGTCGATTTTTGAATAATATTAGGATATACTAATATTATTAATTTAGATGAATTTCGTTTTCAAATCTCACCATAAATACTTTATTTACATCACTCTCACGAAGTTTAACAAATAAAGAACTAAAAGGCTGGTCATAAACCGCCATTTGGTATACCTTCATTAATGTTTGTTTATCTACTAATGCTGATTGTTCCATTATAAATGTATCCACCTCGGACATATTCTTTAATTTGAATATATATATAAACTGCTTGTGTTCAATCTTACAATAGGTGCTAAGGCATTGTTTTTTGAACGGCTGTAATAACGGACAACCCGAAGTGTCTTGATTTTGCATATAAACCGTGTAATATTTTACTGTATCTCAAAAATGTTTTATCTTCTGCGAAATCATCAACAATGAGCAAGCAACTAAATAACTTCTTCATTCCTATTTTTGTTGATACTCTATAATTTTATGTTGTGTATCAATTATGTTTTGTAGTGCTTCTGCCTTCTCCTTAACAACATGTTCGCATCCGAGATACCTGCCTACGGCGGTTTGGTGGGTTCATGTCAGTCTTGGACGAAATCAATTCCCACCCATTGGCCATGTTCTGGACCGGTCCTGACATCTTAAAGTTATCAACATAGACTGCAAGCAGGAGTCGAAGTTTGGGATGCCAAAAAACGGAAGGTTATGGCTCCACGGAACAAGACGAAAACCAAGGGACAAAAGAATATCTTCGCAACGCTTCTCCCGTAGACCCCCGAATCCGGGTGACCATAGAGAGCAAGGATGCGCTGCACCACCGGATCGCTGAACTTCGCGGCCCAACTTTCGCCCAGCGATATTTGGGGGGGCGCACCCATGATTTAATGTCTTTGTGTAATGCCTGGCTGGGTATATGCTTGTCGTCAATCGGACTGTTGAGTGCAATTCCCAGGCATCGCCCCATAAGCATCAACGGCCTTGGCAGCTTCTATGGTGGAAGGAGCCAATCCAAGTTCTGCAAATAGAGCTTGCTGCATTTTCATCTGTCACGTTGTTTCCCTAAAACACAGTCCTACCCTTGAACTTGCGGAGAGGGTTTTCAGATCCCTTTTCAACACAAATTTCCAACGTGGACCTTTTCACCTCTGCTTTTGGCCTCTTTTACGCACGGTGTTGTAACCCCACGCGCCCTTACTTTCAAGGTTATTCCATTCAACATCGATTGACTTTTGGGCGTCAGGGTTGCTTTCCATCTCTTTCCGCCCCACAGGCCAGTGCATGAATAATTGGATGTAAATGGGAATGAAGGACCTTGCAACGATGTTGACAAACCCCGAAACTTGCGGAAATTGCAGGCGACACCACAACATCCAACGAGTCCTCAATGACCTTTTCAGCTCAACAGTCCGCAAGGTGCAGTCGGCATAAGGGGGATATTGGACAAGTCATCCTCCAATCCATTCTGCGCTGCAGAAGTTGCCCCTTGGCCTTGGAAGAAGAAGCTTCTGGGCCCTCGGAGACAAAATCATCAGGAAAGCCAGTCTCTGTTGCTTCGTTGACATTGTTTTTTCAAAGAAAAGGTGGAATACTGTCAGGCGCTTGGTCCCCGAACACCTCCTGGCTTTGACACCCCCGCATCAAAGTGAGCACCACCTTCCTTTGGAACAAGGGTGTCTTTACTGCTCTTCACATCTATGACTTTGACCATTTCATCTGGCGCGGGTTTTTTGAGGCTTTTCAAGGTTTTCGGCCAGCTCCCCGGTCGTCCGCCGGCAAGTCATCCTCCTGAAGTGGCATCCAATGCAGCTGGATCAGGCGTCTCAGGAGCATATTCAAGTGCCGGCATGATACCATGCATGGTTCCTTTTCTTGCCAGCTGGACATTTGATCTGCTTAACCCTCAATGGAGCAATTATTGATCGTATAGTCCTCCGCAAAGGAATTCATGACGCCATAGAAAGTCAGGATGAGTTGGATATCCCAAACTTCAAAGGCTTGATCGGGCGATTTCTCGGGCCTGTCCAAAAGTTGATTTGACAACCAAATTGCAAATATGGCCCGGGAAAATTTTCACCGAAACGTGCTAAGAGAATAATAGTCTGGGTGGTCAGTGATGTTGCGTGCCATGCAATAATGCTTAGCCGCATATGACCAATACGCATGGCGCAATCCAGTTTGTTCGAGATTTGCCCTCGTGCCCTCGATGGTCGCTCTGACAATCCTCTCTGCTACGGCCTTCGCTTTGGAAATGTAATTCGCACTTTGAACATGCTTCCATTCCATCCGACCCACAGCCTTCACGAGTTCGGGAGCCCGATCACTGGAAGGTGTTCACAGTCTCTCCACTTCAAACAAACTGCTTGAAAGCTACTACGCATTGATGTGAGGTTTTCCGTGCCGCGGGGCACGCGTAACGGAAATCAGCAGCAACATCTTGACGAGCGCAACTCTCGATTCTTCACGGTCCGCCGTTAGATGATCGCCAAACTTCTTAGCCTCAGCTTGAGGGGTTCTTTGGTGTGTGACACATCAAGCGTTGAAGCGATTTTTGCCTCATCCCGTAGTGCAGCTTCACCGCGCTCACAAGGGGCATCCTTCACAATTGGCTTCGAAACAGTGTCGCGCGATCATCTTGGGTGGAACATCATGAAAGACATCAGGGCTTTCCTCCGTGACCTCACCTTCCGGTCTTCAAGCTAGAATCGTCATTTCCTAGCTCATCCCCCACATCCTCATGCGCCAATGGTTCTTCCAAGGTTTCGGGTTCTCCATCGATGACCAAAACCTCATCTTCAGTCTCAACTGGAGCCGATGGCAGTCGTAACTTTAGGGATGTTTTGTGACAAGGCCGGAATAGCATTCTTCGACTCAGCCGGGATGAATGGTACATTGTCTTTGACCTCAAGCTTGATGCCATCCGGTAAGCTGAAATAAGCAAAACCATATCCATCTTTCAAACATCTCATACGCACGGACAATGCAGGTGGCATTGTCAAGAACATAAAGCCGAACCACACTCCCGGTCTGATTGATCCTGACCTCGGCTTGTTCCGTCCCAGTAATGCTCCCATTTGCAGTGGAAAACTTTAAAGGCCAGGGTGATTCGTAAATATCCCCAGGTCGAGCATCAGATCTTGAAAGCAAGTCTTGGGCAGCCCCAGTATCCGCAATCCATGGAATGTGAGACGAATCCATTGGTAGCCGAGCAACAACGGCACTTCCTTTCGGAGAAACATCTTTGGCCTTTTTGGCTCGGCTGTTAGGCCTGCACGAATGCAGGAACCACAGCCAAAGTTAGAGTCGCAACGGACTTTGAGCACGGCATCTGAAATTGCTCTTTCATTGAACTTTGGAACATAATTCACCGGAAACTCTTGCGCAAACCTTCTCGGCAAGGCTGTGAAAGGCCAAAGCTCGCCGTCAGTCTGGCGCTTTCACACCCTCAAAGCGACAGCCAGCTCCATAGGTGCATGTGCGTTGAAACTTAATACATACACCTTTGGGAACTCCACAAACAACAGGATTGTTCGATGGAGTCCGGCCACGTCCTGTCGTTTTGCTCGACATAGCATCTCTCATATGAACCGGCCACGTCCTGTCGTTTTGCTCGACATAGCATCTCTCATATGAACCAGCGTCTTCCTTTCCAAATGATTTGTCGCTGCTTCGATCAGGAACTGGTAGGAATGCTTCTCAGTTCCCTCCTCTGGCCGTTCATGACTGTGTCCCATCTGGCAATGAAATTTCTCAAGTCCTCATTGATGAGCTGAACAGACGCAAAATCATACATGGGACCGTGCTTCAATAGGACCTCTCGACCTCTTGCATGTCTCTTCTCCTTCGCCTCCTACCCCTTGAAGATGGCAACCTGTCGCGCGAGGTCGCCTTCTTAGATGTTCGTCAGCGCCGATGCCAATTTTGCGTCAAGGTGAATAAACACGCCTGAATCGCGAAGGGTCTCAACCGTTTGACCAGAACTCCAAGTTGCCTCACTGCACTCAAAAGCCTTCTCAGGTTGATCGGGGAAACAAGTTCGATCACCTTGCTTTACACGAACGCGTTCGGTCGTGGGTCGCTGGAAGAACCTAAGTACTTCAGTAGCTTTCGTGGAAACGACTCATCTGACGCTGTAGGTGATGAGGATGAGGCGGATGAAGGGAAAAACAATTCCCGTCACCTTCTTCTTTTTCTTCTTCTTGTCCTTCTCATCTCCATCATTACCACCATCACCAGGCCCACCGTCTCCGGTAGCAGCATCTGCCACAATTCTGGTGGGAACGGACCCATCTTTGTCGTGGAAAGTCCGGGGTGGAGATGCAACCACGGGCATCGCGCAGCCAAGGGGGTTGCTGGAGAGCAGCTTGAGCAGACTGTTGCTCTTGATTGCTCATCATCTGCTCAACCATCGCCCCCAGCTCTTTGACCTGCTTCTCCTGATCTGATTGCTGATGGTGTTCATGGCACTGCGATGCTTCATCTCGGCCTCTTTCTCAGATTTTAGAGTATTAGCACGTTGTTCCGCACTCATCTGGATTTCCTGCCCCATAGCATCAGGTTCGTTTTGAAGTCCAGCGATGATCTTGCTGCGCCTGGCTTCTGCAACCTGGGCTACCAGTATCCTGATTCACAAATTGGTTGATCTGGGCGTTCTTCGAAATTCTGATAGCTCGTCACCTCTTGATTGACTGTCATAGAAGGGTCGAGGTGAACATTCGCAACATGCTGATTGAACTGGTTCATGGACCGTGGCAGAGGGTTTTCCCCTTGCGAGGTTGGACTGAGGGTCATGCATGACGACATCACCATGCCGAGGCCGATCCGGGTGATTCTGCGCCTTGACTGTTCAAAGCCTGTCCTTTCCTGATGAGCTCTCTGGCCACTTGTGAGTTCGCGCGACTTGTGGGTGCATAGCGCGAGGTATCATTACCCGCGTGCTCATCAGAAGAAGGAAGCACCTCAGCAGGGGAGATTCCAGGGCCGCCATCCATGGCGCACAACTCTGTACAGTGTACAGTGAGCCGCTTACGGCTGATAACCTATAGAACAGTGCAAAACAGCTTCAAAGGTCAACTTCCAACCCTGCAGTAAGCGCGCTTTGTTGAGCCATGCGTAGCGAGTATGACGAAGCTACGCCAGTGAGACACTCATGCAATTGGGGCTAATGAGGTTGATCAATACATCACATGGTAAAATACACAAATGTTCGCACAGGCTGTCCAGGCCATGGCGCCGGAAATCCTGACCTGCGGGCGCTGCCTTCTCTAAACAGACAAGTACATTTCTTCTCGGTAAGCCCAAAACTCTCAGACAACTCCCAACAAGGGAGAAAAACACAAACCTGTGTCAAGTCAACATGGAATCCGAAAATGGAGTGCCCAAAATGATACACTTGTCTTTTTCGGAGGGGAGACTTAGGGGTCCACTGTTGGAAGCTTGATGATATCTTGGGTGGCTTTGCCCCTACAATCCCTCTGAAGACAAGGCACTACGGCGCCAAGCAGCAAGAGGCATGGCAAAAAATCGAGGGGCCCGCCCCTCTCCTGTGCTGCGGGCTTCATGGGCCAGCTGAGCTACGAAGCTGCGGGGGGACGGACGATGAGGAAGGCAGCTTAAGTCAATAATTTCCGAGAAGCAATGAATCCAATCATGCCCGGTGCCCCACCTTCATGCCGCGCAGCTGCCAACGCTGTCGCCTCAGCATCTGCATCAACGCGCATGACACATTTGACGTGTCTAGGCCTGAAGACTTGTTATTTGGAGAGCACTTCAACTTCTGCCGCCATTAACACCCGGATAGTCTTGGCATTTTCTCTTGCCTTCGTTGACATGCCAAGAAGTCTGGGGCATATTTTCGAGGACTTACCTTTAGCTCGCACAAAGTCGAGAGCCGTGCTAGCACAAGAAGGGAGATGGCGCGCCTGTTTTTGCACTTTTCATTGTAACCCCAAAGGCTACATCGCTCCAGCCACGCGCTCAACACGCCAACGTGGTGTCGACCTCCCGCCAGCTCGGATGAGATGGTTCAAGTTCAAGCGGTCAATTTGTGTGGGGACGGGACGAGCTCGCCACGCACAAGAAATATGAAAACACTCACCAACCAACCTGACGCCGAACTTTCACGCGCTCTTGCGCCGACCACCATCGTCGTTGGTCACCAGGATCCGGCCAGAGTGGCCGCAAACAAAAGTAATCCAGAGCCAGTTTCCATCATCCGACTTGTTAATTCCTCCTTCCGAGAAGTCTTCGGGATGCGCGTCCCGAATTTCATTGAGAATTGGATACAGGCCCAACGACATGATCCCCAGCAACCAAACGTGGCCGTGGATTTGGCCATTCCGACCCACTTTCCCATGATAATGGCGAAACGAGTCACTCGTTCTGAAGATGACAACGACTTCTTGGCCAGCTGTTACCCGACAAGCAGGCAATCTGGGCCCCGTGCAGTCAGCAAAGGCAAGGGTGCAAGTCTTGCAAAGCATCACCTGCAGCTCTGCAGCAACGAAAACAGCCCATAACTCGAAGGTGGAACCACCGGAAACGTCGGAACCACATGCGTTGCTGGAGATTGCAGGCGTGAAATGGCCCAGCCTGGGCCTAAGCCCCCAAGCTGGGAGGCAAAGGGAACAGCGCCCAGCGGAAGGACTGGCAGGCCATGCTGGCAACGCGCCAAGGAAGTTTGGGTGTCTTTTGTCTCAGGGCACCCGCTTTGGGAAACCGAAGCTAAAATCGGCATTGTAGGGGGTGTCTTCCGTCTTGAGACCAGCCAGGGCCAAAGGCAACAGCCCATGCCCTCAATGCAAGCGAGCCGATCGATCCGTCAAAAAGACGTGGTTGCAGCGCTCCAAGAACAAAATGCAATTGCTGAAGCTCCCTCTGCCTAAACACAGTCATGAAAATTGTCATGCTTTGGGAACTGCACAATGCTGGATGTGCAAAGTTGGCAGCGCATGCTGCACCATTGGCTATGCACCGCACATTCCTCCTCTGTTTTTGCTCTGCTCTGGCTCTAGCTGAGCCAGCTGCTCCAACTGACTGCGAGGCAGGCAGCGCTGAACTGCCTCCACAATGTGCCAGCAAAGGGAACTGCCAGAAGCAAGCATCTCCTCAGCCATGGATGTCGAGAAAAAGAAAAAAATCAGTTGGGGGCCGGACCACGGGGGCAAGGGAGGCCAGAAAAATTATCTGGAAGGTTCCCGCAGGAAAAACTTGCGGGCTTGATGTCATAGAAGGTGTAGCAACTTCCAAAGCAACACCTTTTGTGGAGAAGTTAGGCAGGGCGGGGCCGCAGTCCGAGGCTCGGAAGCAATGGGCGGGGTGGGCAAGACCCATAACCCCGTCTGCTCAGCGTGACAGCAGCGGCCAAAGTCGTAGACGTCATTCCAGCAAGGGGCAGATCCGGAAACACCAGTGGTCCTCAGAAAAATCGCCGTCTGCCAATCGACTTGAAATGCTATTCTGCGTGCATCTTCCTCACACTTACACACTTACCTTTGCATCTTTTTCCCCTTGCCTAGCTGTGGGATGCCTAGCTGTGGGATGCCTTGCGAATGAACTACTTGATTGTCCAATTCTGCCTGGCACAGCGGGGAACTTGCCAGGCCTGTCCACGACGAGACCCCAAAGTAGCTGCCAGCCAATGCCAGCAGCGGATTCCACAGTGAGGCGCTCGCAGCGTTTGAGTTTGTTGCTTTCTGTCGAGACCCTCGCAGCGACTTGAGCTTCAGGATGCAGCATCCCTGGTGATGTTGCTACTGTGTCGTAATCAAAGCCTGGTATTCAAGGAGTTTACCAGGTACTGTGAAGAATTATAAGGGCGGCTGCATCTATCAATTTATGACGGGACTCCCTAATAGGGACTGTCCCCTACTGTCCCACTCTCTCTCCCTCTCCCTCTCCGGGTTTTGTTCATGGCCCACTTCTCTACCAAGCCCGCAGCCCACAAGGCCCAAGCGTCCGGCTGCAGCAGGCGAGGCCGTCCTCTGGATCCTTGAAGCATGGGGGCTCCAGCAAAGGCGCTGCGCCAGGCTGCCAGGTCCAACCCTTCAGCAGCCGGGCAGCGTTGGCCTCAGCAGCCGTGTGAAAAGCGAAGAGAGGGCCCAGGCAGTTGCAGTGGGCTATGCCAGAACTTACCAGGTCGAATGAGTCCCTCACATGGGCTGCAGCTGAGCGTCACTTGCCTCACTGACCTCTGCGCTGTACTTGAAAGACAAGTCCGACTCCTTATCGCGCCTGGTGCAGCGTCCATGCCGCCCACGGCGACTGTTCTTGGGACACAACACCGCCCCGATCGCAGCGAAGCGCGCGACAGGTATACGGCTCAGCGTTGCCAGCAGCGACCACTCGGGACCCCGCTCGATTCTGGGGTCCAATTGCCCAGCATGTGCCGAGGCCAGCATTGGCACGTAGGAGCCGTTGAGAATCGGCTTCCACCGCCCGAAGTAGCGCTCCCCAAGGTGTCGCGGGACCAACGCAAAGCGGTCGTTGATGCCGTCCCAGTCTGCGCCATCGGGGATCCAAATCTTTGCCGGATCCACCTGCTCGAAGAGAGACAGCGAGGGAGGGAGGTAAAGCCAGTGCCAATCTAGGCGTGCAAATATCCAGTACTTGTAGGGCTCATCTCTGTGCGCCTCCTGTTGTTGGGAAACGGAGAACCAAATCAAAACAGCCATGTCACAAGTAGTGGCACTTGATCTTCAAACCCGTCCTCTGCCAAGAGCAGCTGGAAGCAATGCCACAAGCTGCGAAGGTGAAAGGCATTTCGCCCATTGAGCCCGAGTAAGGGTGCCAGGAAGTTACCGTTGATCTTTGAGTAGGCCTGAGGAACCCTCATGCAGTCCAGTCAGAAAATGGGACTTTGCCTGACATGACGCAGGACTTGCAACCCGTGGCCGGCTGACGGCCGTCAGCCGAATTTTAATTGGACCTGCCTCTAACACCCATGTGTTGTTTCCGCTACTGAAGCGTTGGTAGTCCACCAGCAATGCCTCTCGCCCTCGGCCATCCTCCTCGTAGTACACCTGAGCAGGAAATTGGCTCAAGACTCGAAACGGATGCACCAGCCTGCCTTCTTCACCCAGTCCGCTTCCAGTGGCGCGAGGTTGCTGCCAACTGCCTCAGCAGTTGGTACATCAACAAAGGCAAGGTTAGAGCAAAGATCATTCATGCAAAGCCATCATAAATCATGCGGCGCTTCCAACAGGATCCTTCTGACAATGTGCTTGCCTGTCCAGGACTGACTCCAACACTTCCCCGTTGATGTTCCAACACGATTCCTACTATCCCCCGCCAAAACAAATATCAAAGGCACAGCCTTCCAAGCACATTCTCATGGTACCCAAAGTGGAGACTATCAGGTCAAAGGGCTCAAGTCAATTACCCCATCTCACCAGCACGTTGAACCCTTTACGCAAGCGTGTATGACCAATTGCTCATATTAATTCCGCCTGCACCCTCGACATAAGTTTGGGTGCCAAACGAGTTCTGCCAAAAAGGCGGCGCCTTCCGCGCCAGCAATGCGAAGGCATCCGCTTCCAAAACCTGGGCTGCAAGGCCGGCCCTGTCGAGCGTCTTCTGGGGCGGCAGGCGGTTGGCCGGGCCAGCCATGCATATGGCCGCGCGCGGAGCCGGCACTCCCATGGCATTACGCGCAACCAACGCTGGTGAGCTAAGGAAACAAAGTTCAGAGCTGAGGGAAGGCAATCGGCTTGCCGTGCCGCCTTTGGTTTTGGCGCGGAGCTCAAAGGTGCAAGCAGGCTTGTGACATTGATGGCCGGCCAGCCCTGCCAGCCCTGTCGGTCTGCCAATTTGTTAAGTGGCGCCGCACTCAAGGGCCAACTAGGGATGATGCTCGAAGCAACAAGCTGGCAAATAACAATCAAACGTGCATGCCGAATTGTGGGCAAAGAACCTTTGCCAGCCTTTGGCACACAAAAATAGCCGACCCTAACCTACCCCCGCGCAGCTAGCACAAGCTCATCAAACTGCCACCCAGGCACATAGCATGCAAATATCCGAGGAGAGGTTGCCCACCGTCGGGGTTCGACAGCGTCCTCCTATCTAACAGGCTACAAACACCAGCGTTGTCTGCAACAACCGTATCCTCTCTGGGCCCGCCCTGCCTGCTAACATATCTGCTCGGCGGACTGCCTTGCTTAGCTTAGCAATGCACCATGTCCAGCGAGATAAAGACCAAGTTAAGTGAAGAACGAGAAGCAGACGCACCCGCACAAGGAGGTGGAAAGATGCACGGGCGAAGGACATGGAAAGACCAACAACGGAAAGAACAACGTCGCTTGAAGACACACGGAAATTCAAAACTGAACTGACAAGTGCGCAGTGGCAATCACGGGTGGAATCCCTGCGCCAGGGTAAAACCACTCAGGAAGTTCATACCACTACACAAGCACCATCTGTGTATCTGCCACCCTGCCTACATGTTGGGCAGTGCAGCTGGCTGCGATGCATGCTCAGATTGCACCGCATTCCTTGGCATCTCGAGTTAGTATCACCACGTCCCCCTGTTTTGATCCAGAGGCAGCGAGAGCTAGAGCTAGCTGCGCGTGCCAAAGGCACCATGGCATGATATAGCAGGATCCTCTAGCAAAGCATGCTGAAGGAGCAGCTTAGCCTGAGCACCATGTGACCATGTGTCCCACAAGGCAACCTGGCAGCGGAATCCAAAATACAACTTGGATTGCACTCTCCCCCATTTGCTGACCCATTGCGAAAACAGATCCTCGGCAATTCGGTGCAAAGGCACTTTGCGGTGCTGCGCACCAAATAGCCAACTGGAAAGCAGATGTTCTGCTTCTTCTCGTGCGGATTGGCGCCTCTGCGCTTCCGGCACCAGACAAATACAAGGCTCCCTTGTTGGGACACTCAAAGGCTAATTCTACAATGGCCTGGCTAAACATGCCAACGGCAAGACGCGCTGGAGCAGCAAAAACCGCAAAAGAGACAAGTGCTGCCACGTTTGCCTGCACATCCCATCACTGGTCAGAATTCATCGCAGTAGGATTCGGAAGAAGTCAACTTCTTGCAGGTGGTAGTCAATGTTTGCAACTGAACATGCCCAGGACAGGCGGCGAATTCAGTGAAACCTTTGGAACAAGATGCTTGTGACTCGCACATTCGCACCCAATATTCATTGAGAGTCAATGCAAGGCGATTTGCTACCCTCAGCTACGCCCGGCTTGCTTATACGAGCCGATGCAGTAAGCTGTAGGGGCAAAAACGCTCAACGTCAATGCCTCGAGCAGCAGGTCCAGCGGCAAAACGGGCTGCACCTTGGGCCACGGCTTGCCTCTCTTTGCCAGGACTCCTGTTCATATTGGACGAAGGGACATATTGGACAAATGCACTGACCAACGCAAGCATCTACCACTTGCCCCCTGCAATGCGTTACCCAGAGTGTTTGCCAGCTTGAACCAACAAACCATGCGATGTGCGCCCACCACAACTTTGAAGCACCACTGCCTCTCTGTCCTTGTTTGTGCGAGCCATCAAAGGGCTGCCAAAAAGGAGGGGTCATATGGGGTCTTTTGAAAGACACTCAGCGGCTTTTTGGGTTCAAAGCCCTGCAACGATCAGGCATCACTTTGGATGCATGCAGGCTATGTACAGCTCGGCCCAGGCGGGTCCAGAAAGACAACATAAGCACGAGAAAGATGGCGCACTGGTGCACAAGACCCCTTGAAGCTGACTTCAGACAGCATTCAAGCACGATCCAAAGCTTGTGGCACACTAGCTGCGGAATCCCATCTCCTCTTTCCAGGCGCCGAGTCTGTCGATGACATGCATCCTGGCACAGATGCGCATAGGTCGACGCAACAGCCCTGGCCAAGGGCCAAGTCGTGGCAAGCCGTATGTGCAGCCAAACGGCAGCTTGAGCTGCATGCCCTCGGGCAAGACTGAATGCCTGGGGCCAAACTGCGCATGCCTACTTCTGCTCCACGCAAAGCATGTGGCTGGCAAATCCTCGGCTTCTCTTCTTTCCCAAAGGAAGCAAGTTCTGGCGCCGGGCTGCAAGTCATACTTCTGCGTCCGCAACTTTTGAGAGGCTAGCTCCTGAGCTGTCTGACCCCTGTATCCCCAAACACTGCTGCATGTCAAACCAGCCTTAAATCCTGCTGCTTTCAGGGATCTGCTTTCAAGTTTACTCGGCTTGCGAACGGGTCCCGCTTGGCACGCTCCCTCTGGAGGCTGGAGTCCTTGTTTCACCACGTGTCCTTGCTAGCTACGGTAACTGGGCGTCTCCTAGATTGGGTTTTCACCGCCTTCCGCAGGAGCCCTGTTTGGGCCACATTTGGCTTTTCAGGTCCGGCTCCGGGCCCTGATTGGAAGCTCATGGTGTTCCACTGAGCAGTGGCAATAGAGTCTTTGGGAACTCCTCAATTGTTTTGATCACTATCCAGGCAACAATCTTTCCCATGTAGGCAGTGGTCTGGGAGTGGTGCAAACCCTCTTACTTGGCTGCTCAACCACATACCAAGTAGATCGAACGCAGGGTTACAATTCTGGGCCAGACTTCCAAAAAGTTATGTTTGCTGGTTGAAGGGGAAGATGGCGGAAACTTTTAAATCAAAAGAGCCCGAGTCCGGCAATGAAATGCGGTGACCGCAACGCTGTCGCATGGCGGGGTGCCGCCATGGTGGGCCGCAGAGGCCCCGAGATCAGCGTCCCCGAGGCCCGTAGCTCTGGCAGCGGCTCCACGCGTCGCAGCGGCCTCGAAGCTCACTTTGGGCGTGCGTCAAACTGGGAGCCGCTTTGCCGCTTTGCCAAAAGCTAAGGGCTTTCCTTTTGGCATCCCTTTAACCCTCCCCCATCCCGGCAAGAACACCATCAACAAAACAAATTACTCCCCCCCGCCTGTCCAAGGGTGTGGAGGACGCCAGCCTGGTGCAGCTGGCCATGTCCCCACTGAAAAGGTCAGGCTCCACAAAGGGCAGCTGGAAGAAGACCTCGCGGCTCGAAACCGGCTGACCCGTTGACAAACATCTCTGCCCAGCTGACAGGCCCAAGTGGGTGTGAAACCCGAAATCTGATCATGGCCCGATCCTCATGGAAGCATTGTAGAAGGGAACTGAACGGATAAAACTCATCTCAGCACACGCCCATGTGCAAGGAAGCAATGCAGCCGCGAAAAGCGTTTCCATCTTGCCCAACCCGACCGTTCCCTCCGTCCCCTCCAGGACTCCGGGCCGTCTCCGCGAGCTGAGCTTGGCTATGGGTGAAGTGGATGAAGCCACCGGGCGCCAGGCACTCGGCCACGGAGGCGAAGCCGGAGCAAAGGAAGCCTTCCACCTCCTGAAGCCAAGGCTCGGTGAAGCAAGTGAAATCTGGAGAACGTCCGCGAGACCACAATGCGCATACTGCTTGGTGCTATCGTGCAAACTTGAGACCTGCAAGAGCCAATGTGGCAGCAAGACCTCTTGCGTTGCGCATGCTGGCACACAGCGCCCAACATTTTATTGGGGTAAGCGCGGCGCTCACACAATGCACATGCAAGAGCAGGACCAGATGTGGGCAGGCGGGCGGTTGCGCGGGCATATGGGCATACGAGCAGACTGGTGACCGTCTCGTCTGGTGGGACTATTTATGGCATGCAGATGGAAACTTTAAATACCACCGACCCCCGTCTGTCGAGCGTGAACAGGCTGCCAAACAAATTCAAGACACAAGGCAACCATTGCCAATCAATTGCAAAACAAGCAATGTCTTGCAATCGTTGATGATTTCTAAACATTCACCAAATACAAATATATATATATATATAGACATAGATAGACATACTATGTCTATAGACAGACATATGCATATTATAGTATGGACGTCTGTACAGAAGCCCGCAACTCCCGTTCGTTTAAGCGTTTACCGACCTCTTTTGCATCTGGCTTTGAAGCTCTGGCACGACCAGTGACCATGCGTCCTCGTGTGGCGGCAGCAGGCCGTCAGGCGCCCGCATGTGCAAGCCCAGCCTTGCCGACAGGACACCATGGGAGACCGGAGATGAAACCGATTGCTCGCACAAGCGCCCAAACACACCCAGCCGAAAAGATTTGCTTAAATTGGCTTCAACCGGGGTTGAGACCTGGAGCAAACGTGAAGCAATTGGCACCCGGTGCCTCTTGAGGCTGCATCGGCTGTGGGAGGTCGTCAGGGGCAGCATCATGTTGAACAAGCTCAGGCAGTCCTCTGGCGCACCCGGTGAGGAATCCGTTGGATTGAATTTCGGCCCACCCTCTGTTTTCCAGCCTCTACTTTGGTTGCTACACGTTGCTCCCTGCCAGCTCCAAATCAACGGCCCTCTCGTTTAGAGCATCGCGCCAAAGCCCTTCCCCACAACGTCTCCTCGATCTCCATCACCACGACCGCCTCCTCGAGCTTGAAAGAACCCCGCGCCTGTCATTCCCAAGGGCCCGGGCAGTCCATCTTCCAAGGCCAGCACAATACCACAAACTGGACAAACTCTGCGCGCTGGCGGAAAAACGCAACTTTCGGCCCCTACCCTCAATCTGGCTCGCCAGAACCGTCCCTTTTGCTTCCTGCCCCATAAACGAGAAGGTACATGGCGCGCGTGCGTGCACGTGTGCGCGCGTGCCCTCCCCAAAAGTTGTGCCTGCCACGAAAACCTGCACCCAAGCTCCAGCCACGAAACCTGCACGAAAGCTCCAAACGGGTTCAAACAACGTCTAAATTGCTGCCAGGGCCCCAAACTCTTCCAAACTGTTGCGCCTGTCACGAAATCCAACTTTGACACGCTTGCGACACGCGTCCAAAATTTGCACAGGACTGTGGCGCCAGAGTGAGATGGATATTGACAAATTTCACACAAACGAGCCGACTGCAACAAGGTCAACGAAAATGACACCCGCACAAGCGGCTGCACACGCCTGCCAAGCAAGATGCCTCGAAACGACCACCATGAAACGCAAGTCACAATGGCGCAGCCACGCGAACACGCGACCTTCCAAAACACTGCGCCTGCGCAGTCAAACAACACATTGAGTTTGCGCAGCTACGATTCCTGCACAAGGCCAACGAAAACAGCATTTGCCGATCCAAGAAAATCACGCCTCCACAACAAATCCCAGCGACACGCGCTTGTTGCCTCACTGCGGGCGGTTACGAACGGCGGCGGGGAAAGTTGCGCGCGAACGGTTGCCTTGCAAACTGCAAAATCCCCTCCCCCCCTCCCCTCCTCCCCCCCTCCCCTCCTCCCCCCCTCCCCCCCCTCCCCGCCGCCGGCTCCAGCATCCGCAGCAGCTTCAGCTGCACAGAGCCCAGGCGCCGCAGCTGCGGCGCCGCGGCCAGTGCCGCCGCCAGCTGCTCCAGCGCTCCTCTCGGTCCGGTTGCAGGGATCGCCATCAAGGAACACCGTGCCATATGCCAAGCGCCTGGAAAAACGAACCCGAACAATTAGGCCTTCAAATGAGCTCCGCATAAATCAACCTGGGACAGCCAATGACCAAAGCAAGCGAGCCAAACCAGTGCCCGAAAGCATTCCGAAGGGGAGAGAGCAGTTTGCCGACTATTGGTCACTGAAAATGGGATGACAGCATTGCAAAGAATACAGTGAAGCCCAGGGTGACACCTTGCCTCCTTGAAACTGGAGCGTGTCCATTTGCAGTCGCTGAAGACATTGGAAAAGACCGCCTGTTCCGGGCGTTTTGAGCACATGTGCTGTGTAAAGGCAGCTCCCGCATCTTGATGCAAGTGTCCAAATCCTTTGCCTCAAAACGTGAAACGCGCTGAAACCGCTCGGCTCACTGTGAAGACATGCAACCCAGAAGTTGGCTGGGCAATCACTGCCTGCCTTCTCCGGAGAAAGGCATAGTTAGCAGGTGGGCTGCCTCACGTGGCGGACAAATGCAGTAGTTGTTCAATCACTTGTCCCACAGCCCGCGTGCTGCTCAAAGCCAAGCGTCCATAAACAGACTGCCTTCAAGCCCGTCTCCCTGCTGTGCACCTGTGGAGCAGCGAGTCAGGCGTATGCTGCGGGATTTCGTGTCCTGCCTGGCACTTCGTCGAAGCTGATCTGACAGTCCGATGCTGCAACCTCCGATTTGCCGCATTGAGCAAACCAACTCGGGCCGCAAGCATCAGTTTGACAACATCCATCCCCCTGCTTCTATTACCTGTGCCAAAACCACGCCGAACTAGCGACGACGAAGCTTTACTTTGCTGGAATACGGACCTGCTGCCATGTGACAAAGTTTGACAGGCACATCGGCGGCAGAACGTTGGGACGCATGCTCAAGTGGAGCTGCCTCAACCCGGGGAACAGGTCGTAGATCCTTATGTCACCATCGTCAATGCAAACAATATTGCTGCAGATCTGCCTTTCGGTGCTGACTTGGGGAAGCCCTTTCCTGTGACCCTTGTCGGAGCTCCAGGGATCACAAGCGCCTGTCGCACAGCCAAGGCCATTGCCCCTCTGAGTTCAGGGTGCAAGTGCGCCAAGAACTGCCCAGGCACTTGAGGAGTGAGTCATCCGCAGCCGCTGCTGGCTGGCCTACAAGTCGCATCCAGGGTGGCATCGTCGGCTATGAAATCTGTGCACACACGTTGCATACAATGCCCTGCAGCTTCCAGATTCGCGCTTCTCTATGTGCCATGCTTTCCGCTTTGAACAAGTCGATGGCCGAGGCACTGCAAAAGACTTTGACCTTGGAAATGGTTGGAAAGGACATGCCAGCCGGCATGCCGCAAATCCTTGGCTAGTCCATCCAAGGACTTCCATGCAATGCTGCCAACGACTGTCAACCTCGCTTGCAAGCAACATTCGGCCTAAAACACCCACTGAGAATAATTCAGCCGCCTTCTCCGCCTTGAACCTCGAGCACAAGTTTGCTTTGCAGCACACCCTCATGATGTTCACGTTTGAATGAGAAAGTCGCCCGCTGAGCAAGAATTACTCCACTTCAAGATCAATCCCAAGCTGACAACAATCCCAAACATGCCAAGGCGCTGGGACAAGGTGATTTCCATATAGGAGACCTACACAACTTGACATCTGTGCAAAGCGACTGTGCAAACTGTGCACCCTATTGCAGGGGATTGCAGGTCGTGTGTCTCATCACTTGACTGGCGCCTGTTCAGTCATGGGCCTGACCAGTTGGGCGGTTGGACAAGGGCTCTTCTCATTCGCCTGAGATTTAAAGTTTGAAGTCACGAGGCTGTGCGTGATGCAAATTGCGCCAAGAACTTGACTCCATTTTTCCAAACGCACTGCAAAGAGTCCTGACTCTTGTTCCCGGCGCCCATAATTTCTCCCAACGCGCCTGCAAGTCCTCCCTCTCCAGGAGCCAGGGCTGGCACCCCCACAAGGCCACCACCCGCTTGGCCGGCACGAATTGCACGTGCTCCCCACGGCAGGCCAGGGTCAGCTGCTCCTCCAGCTCCTGCGACGCCATCCCCTTGCGTGGAGAGAAACCTTGCACCTCTTTTTTCAGGGATCATAAGAACCCTCCAATCGTTCAAGTTTTCTCTGGCCAGCTCCCAAATGGGGGATGGGAACTGACTTGGATTTTGCTCTGTCCCCATCCTTTCATTTGTCGCCTTGTGGAAATGTGCCATTCGTTTGTGCGAGTTTCACACCGTTTCTCAAAAAGCTTCACTGCAGAGGCGGCCCCAGCTTGACAATGCGGGCCCAGGCAGCTGGACCAGGTGGCCATCCCAAGTTGAGAAAGGGCTGACCTAAAGCTGGTATTGTTGCAGGCCAGTCCACACATGCCAAATGCAACGCGGAACCCTACCCAGGCAGCGCGAATAGACACATCCCTCCGAAAGGCACATCCTCAGAGTCCCAGCACACCATGGGCACCACCGCGCCCAGGCGCTGGGCGAGGTAGGTCATGTCCAGCGGCACTCTGCCTGGCCCAATCTGCCCAAACATTTTTTGAACTTTGGCCCAGGAAACGGTTCAAACAACAAAGAAGATTGGAGGGGGCAACCGAGCCCGAGACAAGATGGGACGTTGAAGCACAGAGGTTAGCTAGGGCAATGCGTGCAAAGAAAGCTCAGTTGCCCACTATGCGCAAACCAAGCGACTTGCTGGGAGCCGGAAATAGAGCGGCAGCGGCCCGGTGACAGGCTCCTGACCATCGCTGCGTTGGCAGACGTCCAATTTGTGATGAGGGATTTGCCCACACCCTTTGCCAAGCATGCCTTATTCGTAATTCCTCGCCGATAGCAAACTCATCTTGCCCCCTGCTCACGAAACCCAATGCGAACAAAGCCCTTTGGACAGTCAGTCCTGCAGAACACGAATGCGGCACTGATGCACACGCAGCCGTGCCAGCGCAAGCTCTTCGGGCGTTTCATCCAAAGAGAGTATCTCCTGAAACAGCAGCGGCAAAAGGTCGCAACGCGAACACAGGCCAGCCTGTCTGCATATTCTTAAACGATAATGATCGCTGGGGCTGGGGAATGGGAGGCTTCCACTCGTAACACCTCTTCATTTACCGGTTTCACAAGCTAGCTGAATGGGCACTGAACCATTTTCAAGGAATTGATTCCAGGGAGGCCCTTGCCGCCATCCCAAAAGGAAAGACTAGGGGACATGTCAAGCGACTGCATAGGAGCCGCCCCGCTAACGCCTTCATGAGACCTTGCGCAGCCGAGCGGCGAGGCGCAGCAGGACGCGGACGCTGCCGGAGAGTGCTGCGCGCAAATGCCGCGAGGCACAGAACAGGCATCGTGCATGCGCGAGCGACAGGAAGGGAGCGATTGGCACCTGCGGCGCCAAGCGCGGCTGACGCTCCGAGCTCGCAAGCGTCAAGTGCATAGGGCTCTTTGAGGCAACGCGGCGCCAAGGAAAGGCTCCCCTAAATACCGTTTGTTCTCTTGTTTTTGGTTTTCTCGCAGGTTGCTGCCAAAACATACAGCGGGCACAGCCAGCCGATCCTCAACGGGGAAGGGCATGCACTTGAACATGTCTGGCAAATCACAAGAACTTCCTGATTGTCCATGGCCAACATGCACAGCACAAAGCAATGCTTGTCTTCCCCATCCGGCCCTGCGCTGCAGCAGGCGGCGCAGGTCCAGTTGAGGCTCCAACCGACCCTTAGAATCCGCTCAGTACCATTCCCTCCAAGTCTTATAAAAACAAACGCATACTGGAGGATTCGGGAAGGGCTGTGGGAGCAGTGGCAAAGGGGCCAGGTCGTGCCCAAGAACCACCACTTTGGCTCCAAAATAAACTCCTGGAAAAGGTGGGAAAGGGGAATTTCAACACAACAATGCGGCTTGCCGCAACAGGCATCTAATCCGCCGAGGCCCTTGGGCCGCAGGCGACTAGATCGTAGGAGCGATGCAGCAACACGAAAGTGATCTGGAAATGCCGCCCCTCCCGCGGAATGTGCTTTGAAGTGGGTTGTTTTCGCACTTGCTTTGATGTGGTGAAGGCTTATCCTTAAGTTTTGAAACTCAGGTTGCGCTTAGTGATTGGTTTCTCGGCTTCTTGCGCTTTGTTGCGTTTTTGCGTTTTTGGTCTGCAGGCGGCAGCCTTGCCGGAGAGGCCTGTCTTTGCAACAGGCTGGGCGCGGGCTCGAATTCTTGGCGTGGCTTGAATGCCGCCGACGGCCGCTTACTGGACCTGCAACATCCCGCCTGCTGGCAAAGGGAGCTGTCTTGCATGTGTTGGGTGGACTGGTGGCAGCTTTGACCTGGATGGGCCCAGGCAAGCTTCAACCCTGCAAGAGCCTTCTGAGCCGAGAAAGCCCTCAGCGCTTTGCACGCCGACATAGCTTTGCTAGCTTCACCTTGTTTTTCCCGAAAGCATCCCGAAGGGTTCTTCCGCGCGGAGCTCTCGGACCAACTTGCATAGAGTCACTTGCGCAGAGTCAAATACATAGAGCCAAGTGCATGGAGCCAAGTGCATAGAGCCGTGCAGAGAGCCAAGTACATAGAGCCGAGCGCACAGAGCCGAGTGCATAGAGCCGAGTGCATAGAGCCAAGTGCATACAGCCAAGTGCATAGAGCCAAGTGCATAGAGCCAAGTGCATAGAGCCAAGTGCAAAGAGCCGAGTGCATAGAGCCAAGTGCATAGAGCCGAGTGCACAGAACCGAGTGCATAGAGCTGAGTGCACAGAGCTGAGTGCATAGAGCCGAGTGCATAGAGCCAAGTGCATAGAGCCAAGTGCATAATACAAAAACTCGGGTTTTTTTGCGATTTCTGATCTGCCCGCGCGACCCTCTGCGAGGATCGGCGTGGTCGAGGTGCAAAAACTCGAGGTGTTTTTTGTGTACTTTTGAGTTTTTTTTTTTTTGCGTTTTTGCGGCGCCCGCGCAGATCGGCGTGGTCGAGGTGCAAAAACTCAAGGTTTTTTTTGCGTTTTTGCGGCGCGCGGATGAACCCTCTGTGGGGATTGCGCGTGTCGACGTGCTCTCGCTGTGGCGCCGTGCGAATTCGTCTTAGTCTCGGCGAACCCTCTGCGGAGATCGTGCGTGTCGAAGAGCTCTCGCTGTGGCGCCGTGCGGTTTTAGTACTTGCGAGGTTTGCGCGCCTGCTTTCGCAATCCCGCGGTCGCGGGTTCGATTCCCCCCTCGTCCACGGCAGCTCCTCGCAACTTTTAAGTATGAAAGTAGTAGGCGAAGTACACTTTCGCAGCTCCGGCTGGAAAATCGTACGAAGGTAGTACGCAACGTAAACTTTCGCAGCTCCGACGCAACTTTTGAGCGCGAAGTACACTCGCAGCTCCGGCTGGAAACTCGCAACTTTTAAGTACGAAAGTAGTCGCAAAGTAAACTTTCGCAGCTCCGGCGCAACTTTTGAGCGCAAAGTACACTTTCGCAGCTCCGGCTGGAAAATCGCAACTTCTAAGAACAAAAGTAGTACGCGAAGTAAACTTTCGCTGCTCCGGCTGGAATATCGCAACTTTTGAGTACCGAAGTAGCACGCGAAGTAAACTTTCGCAGCTCCAGCTCGAAAATCACAACTTTTAAGTACGAAAGTGTTTCGCGAATAGAGGGAACTTGTTCAGAGCAACTTGCTGAGAGAACTTGCTTGGAGAACTTGCTCAGAGGAAATCGCGCCGACAACTTGCTCAGAGCAACTTGCACAGAGAACTTGCTTGAAGAACTTGCTCAGAGGAACTCGCGCCAACAACTTGCTCAGAGCAACTTGCACAGAGAACTTGCTTGGAGAACTTGCTCAGAGGAAATCGCGCCAACAACTTGCTCAGAGCAACTTGCTGAGAGAACTGGCTTGGAGAACTTGCTCAGAGGAAATCGCGCCAACAACTTGCTCAGAGCAACTTGCACAGAGAACTTGCTTGGAGAACTTGCTCAGAGGAACTCGCGCCAACAACTTGCTCAGAGCAACTTGCACAGATAACTTGCTTGGAGAACTTGCTCAGAGAAATCGCGCCAACAACTTGCTCAGAGCAACTTGCTGAGAGAACTTGCTTGGAGAACTTGCTCAGAGGAAATCGCGCCGACAACTTGCTCAGAGCAACTTGCACAGAGAACTTGCTTGGAGAACTTGCTCAGAGGAACTCGCGCCAACAACTTGCTCAGAGCAACTTGCACAGATAACTTGCTTGGAGAACTTGCTCAGAGGAACTCGCGCCAACAACTTGCTCAGACGCGCAACTGTGCGGAGAACTTGCTAGGATTGCTAGGAGAACTTGCTGCCGCTGCTGATGCTTTCGGGCCACCCATCTAGTTTTCTTTGGATCTCGTTTGAATTACTTTTTTTCAAGGTTCATCCCCTCTGAAGAATCGGATTCCTTCAAGCGTCGCTTTACTCTTGGTTGGGGGCACAAGCTGAGGTGGTTTCTCATGCACAACCTGGTGAATCAAGATGTCGAAAGCTCCGGCCCGTTCGCGAACTTGTCCTGTTGAGTATGCCTTCGCTGGGGTTGCTGGTCCTCCCCCGCCGTAATCCACAAGCGCTTCGGCGGACACGCGGTAGCGCTAACAAGTATGTTTGGCTGAATAACCCGATTTTTGCAAACAAGCATCTGCTCTGCCCATGGCAGCCAACTCCACGAGGCGCGCGGGCTAACTCATTGGGGGCGCTCACTGCCGGGGCGCACTTCAAGGTGTTGGGGCCCTTACGCCCACTCAGTTCCCAGGCAGTGGGCCGTGAGAGTCAATACAAGCTGCGGGATGCAGTGACCCTGCTAGCAATCATGATCTAAGGAGCACGTGATTGGAGAAAGGCTGCTAGCAGCCATTTTGCATGTTCCGCTGCGTGCAAGGGTGCTTTGCTCTCAAGCTCCACTCCCCATGTGTGGTTCCTCAAAACAGCTGCAGGTTTGTTGGACATGATCTACCAAACCTGACTTCCAGGCGGCCCGACGAATCCAAACCATCTCTGTCGTGACCGTGAGCTGTCACTCCCTGGGCCTGAGGCATAGCGCAAGCTGAATTCAACCTGGCAAAAGCGGCGGGCTTGAGCACCACATCTGGAAATACCTTTCATATGCTGGACGCAAACCAACACCTTTCTAACTACCCAATCTTTCCAACTACCCGACCCCATCGCCCATACCCACCTGCGTGGTCTGACTCAGTTTGCCGCTGTATCCGAACTCGGCTGCGTGGAGGGCGCAAGCAAAAGCAGCACAACGTTGGGTCCAGGAAATGACCGCCGCGACATTTGAGTGCAAATCGCTAAGCTTCTCACCACGCAAAGGCTCCTTCTCCTGCACCCCAAGCATGAGGACCAGCTTGCAGCCACCAAACGGTTCGGGGAAATTGGGCTTTGCCGGATTGAAAACAGCCATGCCATGAGCTCCTCCACAGTCTTCTGCTTCTTCATGGTTTCTTGATTCATCTCAGCGGAATGCGGCTGCACACCATGGGGCTGCACCATGGTCAACTCACTCACTGTTCAACAGGTCAGGTGAGCATTGGGGGCCCCGACCCATCTCTCCTTGAGCTTGGGCCACACAATGGACTTGAACTCCTGTTGCGCCAATGCGTCTCGAAAGAGCCATGTGGGCCACTTCTCCAGCATGACAGAGCGGTCGTTTAGTGGTGGAAAGGGGGGCCCCAATGATGCCCCACAATCCGACATTGCCAGCCTCGGAGTCAAAAAGGACCCTGAGCAGGAGCGGACATGCAACATGAGGCTTGCCACCTTCAGGCAAACAAGCAGTTCAACGACATGCATGCTCAGCCACCCACTCCTTTGGGTGCCTCCTCAGTGCACGCGGCCCACTGCAAGTTGAGCCTGGCAACTCCTTTCCCCTTCCTCCTAATGCCGGCAGAAAGCTCCACCCAAAGCTCCGTGAATATCTTGCCAAGATGCTCCTTTGCAAAGCCAGCCACCACATCACCGGGCAGGACGGACGACCGGCTCAAGTCACTGGCCACCACTTTGCCCTCATTGCTCCTGAGCGGTGTTTTCCGCTTTCCCCGCCAAGAGCCAACATGACTGTAAACACCTTGTCCACAAGCACTTTCTTCCAGCTTGGCTTGTGCAACTCCATTTTTGGGCTTCAAGAGGGTTCCCTGCACATGCAGTTTAGATTTGCGTCTCGCCCCTGTGTCCTGAAAGTTTGCAACAGTTCTGGCAGGAGCTGACTTGCCGTCGCTGGCCCAGCCTGGAACCAAGCAACCGAAAAAGCTTCTCCAGATCCTCGGTAAACATCGCACATGATGCAGACAAGCTCTGACCGCATCACCCTGCTTTGAGGTTACGCACCCAAACAAAACGGCATGAGGTTCATTCAGGTTTCTCCTCTCCGACTGCTCAAAAAACTTGGAATCATCAAAGCGTCATGGAAGCAAGCAGGGTCGCTGGGGCCTTTGGGTCCTCTGAAAATGGTATGCTGAGCGAGGGGCTTGGTCGGAGGCCCCAAAGTTGTGCGAGACGATATCGAAGCACTGGCGGTTCAAAAGACGTGGGAGAAGCAACAAGCAAGATGAAGAGAGGGCAAGGAGCGCCACCTCCTACCTCCACATGTCTAGTCCTCCCTCATGGCAACAGCATTGGATGACACGCGCACCCCAATTGTTTTGTATGGCTTGCGCTTTTAGGCGTCCAAGAGTCGGCGAAGGGTGCAAACAGAAAGCTTGCAAGGCAAAAGCTTGGAAATTCTGAACCGATCCTAACTGTTTCCGCCAACTCAGGTTGTGAGACGGGTGGCTTGTTCTTTGGCTCAAGCCGGCCATGCGGCAAGCCAACCCACACGGACACGCTGGCAGCAGCGAAATAATGCATAAGAAAAAGAACCAATTTCAGCATCCAAGCACGCCATTTAAGAAAGAACACCGCCTGCTGCAGCCAGACTTGAGCAAAGCGCCGGTGCCTAGCACTGACACCTCTATGCGGCATGGCGCCTAGTGGGGTAGCCCAGCCAGAGCGATGGCCATTCACATCGAAGAGTTGAGTTTTTTCCGGAGTCCCGGGCCGTGGTGTTGGAGCACAACTCACCCCTTGTCGCGCAGGTGATTCCAAGCAGTCGCTCTGAACAAGGAAAGCCCGAGTATAGCATGGATGCCTACTAGGGAATTTGTAGAACCAGCTCTAGCCCATTTGCGGCACCTGCCAGTACGGGAAATGCAGGCTCACAGAACGCGAGTCGGCGCAGCTCATCCCGCAACTCAACATACTCATGGCACAGGTGTGCGGTTTGATCAGCCAAAGCAGAGAGTCATTCTTTCAGTGAAACTGCCACACCCAAGTGGCAAACTGAAACCAGCCATCCTAGACGATCAAAGTCGATCAAAGACACCGAGCCGATCTGAGCTGAGAAGTCCCGGGGCGTGGGCAAGAAAATGCAAAGCCAAATGCTTTGGTACTCGCGGGGGCTCCATTAAAGTTGCCACGCCCAGCTGGGGCAGGCTGCGCCGGCACGCACGCGCACAGGCCCACACTCTCCTCAACGCCGCCGCTTGCTGCCTCAGCTGATCAGGCCAGAAATGATGCAATGCGACGCACAAACCCTCCTGCCCAAACCGAAACATGTTTTGGCCCTGGTCGGTTTGTAGGCCGCAACAGCGGAGCTCTAATGCTCCCAAGCGTCTGCCGCCGCCCTGCAGCATGGCAATCGCCTCGGCCTCCGTCAGCAGCTTCCTGCGCTCCGAGTGGTATGCAACGCAAGCCCGGGACATGCGGCGATTTGATAATGCTACCCAAGCTTGGCTCGGTATGCTTAATACCCGTTCCGTGATGTGATGGAAGCTGTGTCGTTCAGCCGCTCGTGAGTCGTGGCAATTGGCGGTGACTCCATGTTCTATGCCCTCTCTGGCTTGCATCATTGTGCCTTGCCACATGCGCGCCCAGATCAATGGGCAGACATTCATATTAAAAACCATGGTGCCGAGAAGTAGCTGTCAAAGCGCAGCTGATACGCGGTGACTGCATATCATATACATCCTGCTGCATCAACATCTTTATGAGATGGTCACCACTATCACTGATCAATGACTCGTTCCAACTTTTACCAAACGAACTTCTCAGCAACCATCTCCCCCCACCCTTCCACAGCGTGGCGGGAATGGGCAAACATACAGGCGCCACATCAGCCTGCCGCAAAGTAACACTAGCCTGTCAAGCAAACTGAGCAACGCGCATGCCATCGCCAGTTTACAGATTACGCAGAGTTGCGCAATCCGAGGAATGGCACGCATGTGATCCACACAGGGGCACTAGGGGTGCCTGAACACGCCTCAACAAGCTCAGCTTCTCACGAACAACCAATGTGGATGTGGGTCAAGAATAGGTACCCAAAACGGAACCTGATAAATGGAAACATGGACTAAAACCTGCGGTCCCCTAGTGGTTTAATTTTGACCCACAGTCATATTAATATGAATCCTCCCTCTCCTCTCGCTGTTCAGGCCGTGGATCTGCTCCGCGCGCCGCAGCCGCTCATCCAGCTCCCAATCTCCTCGGCGCACGGCGTCCGGTTGTGGGAATTGAGCTGATACGAGAGAATTACTCAGGGATCCTCCGCCGGGTTGCGCAAAGCAACCGATTACTAACCCCTATGTCAAAAGCAAACAAAGAATGTCAGACATTTTCCTGTTGCCACTTTCAGCCCCACCCTTTTACCAGGGCTGCCAGGGCGACGTCGCGTCACATGGGCCCCGGCTGAGCTGCCCAACCTCAGCAAGCCAGGACAAGCCAGCCTCGCAAATTGCATACCAGTAAGATTGGTCTTTGCAGTGGAAGTGGTCAGTGGACCTTGGTGCTGCCTCAGTTGAGCCTCTGTAGCCGTAAGCCACAGTGCAATATTGAGACAGTTTCATTTCATGTGCAAGTAGCAGGCCCTTCAAACGAGCACTGTCTGAGTGAATGAGCTGACTGGCCATGCGGAACCACGGTTCGCCCTCGCCACCAACAATCCTACTGCTATGCTTTGCTCCGAAGCCGTGCAGTTCGCTTCCGGGTCAAACTGACCCACCCGCTTTTGCCACCGTGACACGTAGCGCCGCTGCACACCTGCAAAACACCAAGGGGAGTGACTGGCAATCTGTCACAAGGATCCCTCAGGCCCACTCAAGGCCATTTAATCCGTGCTTCTTGTGGACGCAAAAAAACTGCTGTGCAATGTGCCCACAAAGCCGGGCTGCCTCCAACGTGATCCACCTGCGCCTCCGGTACGCCGATAGTCGTCTTGGTCTTCCGGACCGGGCTCCTGAAATCGGAAACAGCCTGACCTGCTGCCTGGCTTGAGTCGCGCGAAACATCCCGTAGCCCTGTAATAGAGGCAAAGGAGGGGAAACCAACGAGGGCTGCGCAACGCCGGAGTCCTTTCAGCGCTTGCTCGCCGCTCGAGATCGCAATCGCCTCACATACGACGGCGCGAGTTCCATGATCTAAAAAAACATCAAAAAGCAGGACTTCGTGATGTATGCTTTGCACTAAAGATGTAAGCTTCTGTAGAAAGCGTGTTGACTTGAGTCGAGGTGCTCCCTTCCTCTGACGAGCGGGCGCCTGCCACAGCGCTCACGCAGCACGCAGAGCAAAACATTGCTTTCCACTGCCGCCCGTACCTCTTCGTCTTGCCTCCTGAACCTTTTTCCACTGCTTCCTCCACTCCTTGGCACAGCTTCGAATACCAAGCGCATGCCCTCCTGATTGCTCCCAGCCAAGACACCTCGCGTTTTCGCTTCTCTTCCTTCTTCTTTCTCCGCCGAACTTCAGATGAATCGTCATCGTCAAAGAATCCTTGCCAGCCAGCAGCATTGTGCCGGACAAACTTTGTGCTCTCGCAAAAACAACAAGCGTAATCCGTCCGCCTCAAAGCCATCCCCGCATGAGCCAGCCACAACCAAAATTTGAGATGAGCTACCATCTGATGACCGGCTTCGGTCTCCGCGGCCTCTTCCTTGCGGGTCCTCAAACATTTGCCACGTGTGCTATACCCGGGGTGCCGGGTGTTACCAGAGGCAGACATCGCAGCCAGCCTCGGAGTAGCGCCCGGAGCGGCTCCGGAATCGGCGCCTCTCGTCTGAGTCCTGACACTTTGCGACTGCTCACCGCAGATGCGATTTTGCTTCTCTCTGGGGCCAGTTCGGGTTGGTCGCTGGGATCAGTGGGAGCTTGGCCGTTGTCAGTGCTGTGTGGCCGGGACTCGATTGAAACGCAATCCCACCACGTGGGCTCCTCGTCGTAGCCGACTCGCCCTGCCGGGCAGCCATGGTTTTATGACGTGCCGTCCAATCCGTCTGAAAACCACGACAGCTTGGAGTATGATCAAATCTATGTTACGCGCTCACAGTACCGATTCAATAGGCCCGGAACTGCCCGGTCACGCCGGTACCCCAGCTTCAGCGGCCTCTTCTTTTTCTTCCCTTCCGCTCACTCCCCGGGGAGGGCTCTTCAGCCACATCCTGTGGCAAATGTCGGCAAACTGCACGAATCTCTGGGAATGGGCTTGAGGCCACAGGAGCCACATGCAAAAACGGATGCCGCATCGTCCTGAAACCGTGTCGCTGCCTTCTGCTTGGCTCTTCTTTCTTTCTCCTTGTCCTTGTCCTCTTCTTCTGGCTCGTTCTCATCCATCCTTAACGCCAGGGTGACTGATCATAGTAAAGACAAAATCCGAATGCGACTCCCACGGGCGCTTCAACACCCCATCCCAGTCGCCCAGCGTGGCCCGCGTTCCATGCGTTCCATGCGCTGCACCGGTGGCAAATTCTGTGCCACGCCTCTCGCGGCTCGGCTCGGGCTGGGAGGTGACCACGACGGGCGTGCGCCCAATGCGAAGCTCGAGAACCTGGGAGCTCATAGTTCAAGCACTGGGGACTCAAACCTTTCTCAGGCGAAAGCTGGCAAGGATGACCCGATGGAACATGGCCAAGGCCCAGTTAAAACTCGGGATCCTGACCTCGCCCAAGCGCTTCTGCCGCCGAGCAACGCTTTTCGGCGCAACCTTCTTCTTCGGATTCGATTTGGCCTCAACTCGTCACCTGCCTGCATCGGAAGCCTGAACCACCTTTGAGCCTGCTCAGGCACCGACGTTTGGATTCAGGAAGCCGGAATCCTTGTTTGCACTCATGCCACGTTACTCAAATGTGTCACTGTGCCATCGTGGCTGTTGTCAAAAGACGCGTGGCTTGGCTCATCCCAACTGAAGAGGACCATGGGCACTCAACCCTGTGGAACCCGCAAGCCGCAAGCCTCTCAGGCGGTGGCATCTAAATCCTCTTCCTCCTTCTTTGCAGGCGGCTTGTCGGCTACGTCGGCTTGCTTCTGATCCTTGACGCATGCCGCACATGAGATTTCACAGCGACCAACTGCCCCCATGGCTGAGCTTCGGGCGATGCGCCGCCGTAGCTCTGCCATCTCTTCTGCCTGGCCCGACTGCGCGCCCAGCATGTATGGTCTGCAAGGCCCTCGCATTACACCCTGTCAAAGCCTTGCGAGCAACATTCATCAACAAAAGCTTTGGGGCAAAGAACGGTCAATGATGCGCAAAGCCATGCTGCTTGGAGGAGAAAGTCCCACATCGAACGGGAACGCCGTGCTGCGCCTACGCAAACACAAGAAAACATGTGCCTGCCGGCGCTGCACCAAGGTCTCCCGGCTCCGCGGAGTCTCCCCAGTCCCAGTGCTCACAGCCTCTCCGGGGCCTTTGCAGCGCCAAGTTCGGTCCGAACCCAAGACTTTCAAGGAGAGCACTAGTCCAAACCGAACGAAATAAATATACACATATATATATATATACAGGGGCCACCACGCACCCCCCAACACCCCGCCCTGAGGTATGGGCCAGCCAGCGGACCCAGGCCCAGCTTCGCGGCCCAGTCCAGCTTGTCCTTGGAGACCAAAAAATATGCACACCCTGCTGTCCCCAACCAAGCGGAAGGTCGCCCACCCCAAACCCAAAAGGCCCGTACGTGACCCTCTGAGGACACTCGAGAAACCCTGGCCAAGAAGTCGCTGATTTCTTACTTGGAGCTTCAGGAGCTGATTAAGCGTCCTTGCTGAAGCATCCTAGGAAGGTAGCTGCATTAGCCTGCGTTCATGTGCCACGGATGAACCAAGCAAGAAATGTAGGGCATTGTTGTGCTGCAGTGCCCATGCGCCCAGGCACATTGACCCAAATGATCCCGAGGTGATGCCCAAAAGGAATAGATTAGGGATAACACTCGCTGAGACTCTCTTAAGTCAAATGGGTAGGGCTCTGCATCGAGCCGCCTTTCTTAGACCCATCCTCGTATACCAACTACGTTGCTGACAAGATTCCCTGCGGCTCCGATTCAAGCGATCAACCATGGCTGGCAAAGTGGTCGAACCCCGGACCGGAGCTCAATGCCCTAACGCCGCAACGCCAGACTGCGGAACTGCGGAAGCTGTTCTGTTTCTTGGCTGAGTGCACCTCCAAAGCTGCTTGAACTCCTTATGTTTCTAGGGGATCTGGCCCTCCCGAAAGGATCTGCCGGCTGCTTGGCCCATCGGCCGGAGCACTTTCCTACAAGCAGTTCAGACCAAAGCTCGGGCATGTCTTAGGGAAAGGGCCGAGTTTGGTTCACCTCTGCTTTCATTCCTACTGGCGGCCAAGAGTCAAATATCAACAGGAAGAACACCAGCATCTCAAATCCTAGAGACTCAAAGCATTTGGGAAGAGAATCGGCAGCTGTCTGCAGATTTGGGAAGATGCTCTCTCAACCCAAAATGCATCCAACTTTAAACCCTGGCAATTAATCTCGGACCGGCAATTTTGAGCCGAAACTGCGGCGGTGCCCACACCATGCATTGATTGCCGCTGCAGGCAAGACTGTGACACTTGAAAGGCCGTGCATAGGTCAACAAGGAAATGCTGCACCAACCAATGCTCGCTTCGGAAGGATTCTTCTTTAAGGCAGGACCTGGAGGGGTCTTCCAAGCGAAAGGTTGAAACGAGCCATTTGCACTGCAAAAGATTCAGACTTTGCCCCGAGCACCCCATGCATCGGAAGGCCCGGGGGCCCCGGCTGTGTTTTTCGTTTGTACGAAGGCGGAGCCGGCGACCCTCCCCTGAGCCTCCCGAAGCTCGGCCCAGCGCATCATCCGCAACCTGTCCTTCCAGTCCCGGGAGCAAATGCTGAACCGAACGAGTGCATCAAAGCCGGCCCCCAAGAACAGTTAAGACGTCAAATTGCAGCAGGGCTAGCTGCGAGCAGCTCATGCTTTTCAAAACGCGTCAAGCTGTGTCTTTGAATCGCGTTGGGTGTCTTTGTGCAAAGCCGGTTTGCCAATTTGATTGCACTTCCCACCCCCGCCTACAGGCAGCACAGCCCAACCGTCTTAGCTAAAGCACCCCTCCTCCTCCATAGCCTTCGGCCAAAGCATGAGAAGAAACTCCTGCAGGGCCAGCAGCTTTCCACTCAAACCAGAACAACATGGCATCGCAATGCAAAACATGCTGCCAAAATGCTCACCTCCAAATGAACCGGCGCAGCGCTGCGCCGGAAGCGGAACTCCAACCTCATGCCAAATTCCCACCCATCAACTTTGTGAGCTAGCAACACCTCCAAAAACACAAAAGCCATGCACCAAAAAGCACAACAGCCTCTCCAGTTCGTTCAGCACACTTCCCAGGTTTCGTCTTGTGGTTTGATTGAACAATGGTGACTTCCGTTGAACCTTCCACCAGGCCTTGCACGCCGCAGCATGCGCAGCGTGTTAACCTCACCCAAAAACGACACACGAAAACGGTGAGAGACAAAACAACAAACTGTCAGGATGGAATCAAGTTGTAATACCTGCAATCTCGCAACTCACAGCCTCGATTTAACGGTTGTTGACCCTCCTGAGATCGAATGTTCCTCGGCATGCCGTGACTCTGGGCAGCAAGCCGTCGCGCACTCTCGCATAAGGTTGATGTAGGCCTACCATGGATATCGAGCACCGGTGACTGCTTGCAACAGTTCTGTCGGGACCAAGACACAAAACAGCTAGCAAGAAGCACATCAAATGTCCTTTCAGGATCAGCCTGCCTCGCGGGTGATCGCGCCCGAATGGGCATGGTCAAACTCCCAGAAGGTGTCGCAGGCTGACCACACAGCCTGGCGAGAAGCACCCCAACCCCTACAGCATACCCAGAAGCAATGCTTTGCCCATTTCCTCGTGCTTGACTCACTTCGGTCAGGACCCCCCCCCCCCGGTCTCCCCCGGCGTCTCCCCCGAGGCCTCCCGAAGCCCTTCCGAAACTTTTGGCCTGGATGGTGGCGCAGCCGCAGCGCTCCGGGGGCTTGCACCGGAAGGCCTCCCGCACCTCCGGGGAGCACTTGGCCTCGATGGCCTCTGCTCCTGCGACCGATCGCGTCGCATGCAGAAAGTCCAAAGTTCTTAAAGGCCAACTCAACTGGTAAACCCACACTCCGTTGCAATTTGGCATGGGAGGTATATATGCGGGTACTCCAAGCCAAGTACCTCCCAACCAAGTTGTGCAGTTCTGGGTCTCCGGCTCGCGGCAAGGGAAGGAAGCTCCTTTAGCTGAGAAAAGACTTGATGAGCCATCTGCTTGTCGAATGTGCGCTTTCGCTATGTTCTATGAGTTTCTGAGGATTGCACCGCACCTGCCTGTGACTGACGGCCTGTGGGCAGGCCAGGTAAATCCAACTTGCAGGCTGGCCACCCCCGCCCAACCCATCCTTGTGCACCTAGCGCTCGTGCAATGGGACCGCCGGCACCTCAGCCGTTTGCCCCTGAGGGCACCATGACGTGTGTGTGCAAGGAGCCTTTCAGAAGCAACTTCATCCTCTGCTTGAAATAGCCGGCATCTCTTCCGCCTGAAAGGAACAAGTGCAACAAACAGAGCGTAGTGCAGTGCAAGGGTCGCAATGCATGCTTGCTGGCTGTCCTGTCGATCTGGCCTCAGCCCGAGAAGCGCACAAACATGCTTGCTGGCTGTCCATCGCTAACTCCGCTGGACGCCAAACTCAAAGAAGCAAAGCAAGATAGGACCTGGACGCCCCCTCTGCCGTACGGCCCCTGCCTGGCACAACAGCAACGTGAAACGCCACAAAAACAAAAAGTTGTTTCTGTAGGGAAACTGACAACATTCAATCAAGGATTGCTTTCCATCAAATGCAACACGGCAGCAGCACTGCGCGGACGACTTGCGGACGCCTTGCAGAAGACAAATGCTTCTCGCTGTCAGACCTTACAGACTGCCTCCTCTCCCGTTCGCTGGGCTTGCGCTTTTCCGTGGTGATGGCTGGGCCTTGCTGGCATGCCGTGCGAGGTGCACGTGGCGTGCTGCCAAGGAATCGGCTTCGCCCATGGACCCCATGGTGGAGCCCAGGTTGGAATTCATCGTGGAACCCAGCATGTTGGAAGTGTTGGTGTCACCTGGCAAACAATAGATCTTGACGACCACTCTGAGGCACCCACTCGCCCCCAAGCTCCCTGCCTAGTGAGCGGCTCTGCGACTGCGTGGTGTGGGGCCTGGGCCAATGCTTTTCCACAAAGGAACACTGCAATTTGCCAGCTCGCACGCCACCCCAGCCTGCCTGCGTGGTTGAATGGCTGAGGGTCGCGGGCCCTGCGTGGCAAGCCCCAACACAAGGTGAAATTGAACGGGCGAGAGCCTGCGCAAAAAGCGGGGAGGGCTAACTTCCAAGCGCTTTCCATGCTGCTTTTGTTCCCGCATCCCCGTGATGCCGCTGCTGCAGCGGTGTTGCCAGCCTCAGGCGACGGGAGGGACGAATCCTTTTTTTAGTCGGGAGAACTCCCTCAGCAAGTTCCATTTGACAATTGTGTGGAAAGTTTCACCTGCTGGACCGGACGTGGATGAAAAGAATAGGCCACATTCAGACGGGAGGAGGCTGCATTCAAGCAGGAAACTGCCCTCAGCCGCGCCAGCCATCTTTTGCTGCACAAATGCATTGGCTGAACCCTCGTGGGGCCCGAAGCCACGCAAGCACAGGAAGACTCGCGGCACACCATGCTAACCGGAACTGCAGGAAGGTGCGGCAAGGTCTGTCTGGCAACACCGCGCCTCAACTTGCAATCCTTGAGTCCGTGGTGAAAGTCATGTGAAAGTCTCCGCCACTTCCCATCTGACAAATTTGTCAGCATGCCAGGAGAACTCATGCCCTGCGAAACCAAGGAATGTGCGCTTGTGCGTGTTGCAGTGCAAATATGTGCGCAAGTCAGTGGTAAAAAGTTGTTTACTGCCCTAAGCATGCACGAAAGAAAACGGCCACGTGTGCAGTCTCCACGGCATCGCGCGACAATTCTAGTTGCCTGCAGCAAAAGCCTGAGGCAAGGGTGAAACAAAGCCCTTGAGATGTTGCAAGCCCCTGGGGGCAGTGCCGCGTAGACGCTTGGCCGACTGTTCAACAGGTAATGAGCCTCCCCACCTCTACCCTGGAACATCTGCGAAAGCGTCTGGCATCTGCCCGGGGCTGCAACGCCAATCGGCCAGCTTGGAAAAGCCAAAGCCTGTGTCAGCAACAGCAACCATGATCGATTCTTCCAGGCACCAACCGTAGCACCAAGTTTCACCGCGAAGCAAGTTGATTCCTTCCTTAACTGGTCGGGCTGGTTGACATCAAAGACACTGAACAAGCAAGCAAGCCAACCAGCGAGCGAGCAAAAGAGCGAACAAGCGAGCAACCAAGCCAAGCAAAAAAACAAGCAAGCGAACCAACAAACAACAAACAGGTAAGCAAGCAAACAAAGCAAAGCCAAGCCAAACCAAAGCTAAAGCAAAGCCAAAGCCAAAGCAAAGCCAAAGCCAAAGCAAAGCCAAAGCCCAGGAAAAGCCGAGCAAGCAAGCAAACAAGCAAGCAAGCAAGCAAGCAAGCAAGCAAGCAAGCAAGCAAGCAAACAAACAGAAAAACAAACAAGCAAAACAGCTAGTGCGTGGCGTCCACTCACAACACAGTGATTTGGAAATTGTTTGCAGCAAAAATTTAGGCTATAAAAACAGAAAACAAATGCGGATCCCAAACTGCGCGTCCGCGGCGTCAATACACCTTTTTTCCATAAACAGGCCCTTCGGGTTGGGTTTGCAGCTGTTCCAACTGCTAACTGACTTATTTTACCAACTGACATGGAGCTCACACTGGAATAAGTGGCACTAGTAAGCCAACGGCTGAGGTGACACTTGTCACCACTCCAAGCTTGGCCCTTGGCTTCACGGCAAAGGTGGCTCTAGCCAAAACCGCCCCTCCACCAACCTCAGGCTCTGCTTTTTTGAAAAGGATTCGGGCCGAGCGCAGCCTCACACAAGCACGATGTCGCCGATCGCACGAAACGAACGAACTGCCAAGGGCCCAAAGACATTCAAGGCATGCCTCGCAACTTCAAATGGAATGTTTCAAGTAGTCGTGGTGCTTGCGCAAAGCTCAAGCTACAAAGCCAGCTGGAAGAGGCTGCAGGGGCGCGACAAACTAATGATTGCTGGGAAAACAATGCCGGAGCTGAGTTACCACCAACGAACCCCCAAGAGTTGTCGCGCCCCGTCCTCTGAATGAGGAGAACGTAATGTACTTCGGTTGTCCCACCGAAGGCCCTTCGGGTGGTCCTGGCCACCGGACCCAGCACCGGCACAGTCCCTGATATGGGACTGCGCCTAGGGTGGGCGAGTGACGAATCAAGAAAGATCCCAGCCCGCTTTGCCAAAGGCTGCGTGCATTCCTAATGGCCTAAGAACTGCACAAATGGTTCACACTCCGAAAGGCCCCTCGCGTCACTTCACAATCCCCTCGTGCAGGGTATGGGCTGGGGCCATGGGATTGCCTCCCAAGCCCTCCGATCCGAGCGCCCAGCGCAGAACCCAAGGCATTTCGCCCCTATCCAACGGGTAAGCGCACCAAGGCATCAGCCTCGAAGGCTGGCCTTTCGAATTGATAGCTGGCCTGCGCCGATTGCTATGGGCTGCCAGCAGTTTGAAGGCTGCTGAACCAAGCTAACGGCCGTGCAACTCCCCAAATTTTGGTGACTTGCACAACGCGTTTTCTGGCACCGGGGGAAACACACCGCCGCACTTTCAAACTGCTGGCATCAAGGCCCGTGCAACCCTCGCCCAGACTCACTGGGACTTTGCCTGCAGGGTCCGTGATGCTCCGAGCACTTTGCAAGAGCTTGATTTTCCAACAAGTTGGCATCAAGTGGGTGCTGGGTCTACATGTGATTTTGCCAGCTCCTGTGTCCCATTGTGCAACCACCAGCCCTGAAGCTAGACCTTCCCTGTGACACCGATGCAACACTCAAACCACCCGCCTGCCTCACGTGCCTGCGAGTCAAAGCTGCCACTGCCGCAGTCCAACTCCAAAGCCAGACCTCGGAGGCGCGCACAAGCTCCAAAGCTGACTGCTCACCCGCTTGAGCAAAAGGTTTGGACAGTTGCGGTGTTTGGTCTGGAGGGTGCCTGAAAAATCTGCCACCTCTTACTCTTCTAGCACTTGCACTGCTTGCAGCAAGGCGGCGTGTTTTGGTAGCTCATATTGCCACCTAGAATCAAGCGAGTTGTTGATGCACAGGCGTGCACGTTCAAGGAAAAGTGCCCAAACACATGCTGCCATGATACCATATGGTCCCTCGAAGCCATCGCACCCGCCATAAGCGTTGCCACCGTACGATGTACCACCACCTTGCTGCAGGGCAGTACATGCCTGAATGAAAAATTTTGCAATTCCTTGAAAGTTGAAATAGTACCCGGCAAAAAAAGCACTTGAAAAGATTGGCGTCACGTTCCGCATCTGGCAGGCTTGCGCGCTTCTAGGCAAGGCTCTTGACGCCCAGTTGTCCCAGCCATAGCTTCGCTCCCAGCCGTAGTTGTCGCCACCGGTCCAGTTGGGAACCTGAGGCAGGGGATTGGCACAGGACTTGTGGGGCATACGCAGGTTCAACGTGTCTGTCTTGCGCATGCCAGGTCCATCGCCTACTTTCTCACTGATTCTCTCTCGCTCTCTCGTTTTCTCTCGCTCTCTCTGTCCGGCTGTCCGTCTCTGTGTCTTTCTCTGACTCCAGCCTGCCAGGCTTCACCAGACCATGTGCCTCGCCGCACAGCGGAAGGGAAAGTGATCTTCAAGGGCCATTTTTGCCAAGAACCAGCAGAACCAGCAGAACAGCTTGCTCTGTCACCCTTCGGCAATCCCGCCTGGGCCTGGGCTGCCATTCCCGCCGGCAAAGCCTAGCACAGTACAGCTTCGGTGAGTTAGGGGTTCTCTGTCTCCGCATCTGAGGCTAAGAAGGCCAAAAAGGCAAAACGCTTGAGCAAGAATGCAAGGACTGAAAGCTGTCTGAGAAAGAGGCGCGCCGCATTTTGGCATTCAACATCTAAATGGCGAGCGAAATGATTGCAGGCCAAAGGTTCAGCAAGTAGAAAATGGGAAAACAGTGTCATCCAAATGCTGACTCACGTCCCATCCAATTGGAATGCTCTAATTGGAATGCTTATGTCCCAGCCATCCCCGCGAATCCTGCCTCTATTTTCTGCCAAGGTGCTTCCATTCCCATAGTGTGGATATTGCGTGGCGCCTTGCCAGCCACCAGTTGAAGTTGTGTAGCTTGGCACGTCCTCAGGAGAAGGACTTTTTTTTGCAGAGGGCTGCCAAGAAGTGGGTGGCAGTTGCCCGCCCAGCGAAGCAACTATGTAAGTTGCAACTGCACGCAGTGAGGCCGGGCTTACACACGCAAAGTTACACACACACACACACCAAGCAGTAATGGAAGTCGCCGCAGGGGCCCTTTGTAAGGGCCCTGCATGGCCCGAAGTCCCGTGCGCTTGCAAAGCGGCCATTGTGGACCTGAGGAGCCACAACTCAGATCACAAACTCGGCGTTTGACAGACAAAGGTAACCAGCAACTCCAACCAGCAAATGCAACCGGCACATACAAACAGCAAATACAACCAGCAAATGCAAGCAGCATCACATGAAACCAGCAAATGCAACCAGAAAATTGCACCAGCAAATGCAACCAGCAAATGCAGCAGCTAGCAATATGGAATGCATCCGACCGCCCGCTCGGCTCCCACACGTTCCTCCCTTTCCTTCATAGAAATTCTCTCCTTGGCTGAAGCATTGAGGCGGCAACCGGGCAAAGAAGCAAGCTCAGGCTACCACGGTCTCTGCCATCCCCTTTGCCTGTCCCTTTGGCCGCGCCTTTCCTGAGGGGGCCACGTGCCATGGAGCTAGCAATGCGGCCATGCGCGCCCACGCTTGGAGCAAGTCAGACATGCACATTGCATCCCAGGCTCACAAGTCCCTTTTCTGCAAGCCTCGGTTGCGCACAGCAACCAAAGGCACAGCCAAATGTTCCATCGCCATGTGCGCATGAGACTCCGCAAGATCGAGCGGCTGCTTCTGGAACATTGCTTCCCTCTCTTCCTTCTTCTGGGCGCGGCTGACATAAAGAAGATGCTCAGGGTGTCCTCGGCACATGCGGAAACGTGCGATGAAACAAGATGCACAAGTCCGACAACCCGTTCTTGGCATGCCAAGAGGCCGTCAACATCCAGCTTGACTGGTGGGGCCTTCCCCTCCGCCTCCAGCTTTTTCGCCTCACCACATGGAACAAAAACCTGACACGCACTCTGCTGCCTCGAGAGCATTGGAAGATGCAGCTCTTCTGCCGGATTGGTTCTTTCCAAACTGCGATAAGACCCCCTTCAGACTGCCAAAGTGATATCGCGCCTCCTTCTGCTCCTTGCGAGTTCTTAGATCCTTGCGGTGCATGTGAAGCACACACCTCAGAGGCAAGGCTTCACATGTGAAGCCAGGGGCAAAACATGCGCACCCGCACCCGTGTTGAAATGCGGCCGAGTCGCTCTTTCGCATCTTTGGGCTGCTCAAAATTCACGAAGCCAAAGTGGCGACCCCGTTGGTCAGTCATGATCTGCGCATCCGCGGGTTCAGAACAAGGCTAGCTCATGCATCAAGATCTCTCTGTCTCTCTCTCTCTCTCTCTCCCTCCCTCCCTCCCTCCCTCCCTCCCTCCCTCCCTCCCTCCCTCTCAAGAATGCTCTCACGGCTTTTTTGTTCCCAATGTCACTCCAAATCTACCTGGATCTCGCCTTGGCAGCCTGGATGGGGCCAAATCCGTCGAAGAGCTCGCACAAGTCTTGCCTACGAGACTCCAAAAGCAACATCCCAACTCAACATCCCAAAGCCCAGCATGTCCATCCCTCGGATCTCATCGACTACAGCATGCAGGTCCGCTAAAAGCCTTGGCCTTCTCACTTCTCTCGCAGAATCGCCATACAACCCAAGGTTCAATTTAGGTTGGTATCCACCCAAGTGCGGCAACAATTCGACAAAGAGTACGCACAGCTCTGGTATGGAAAAGCCTTTTGGAATGCTGCACCAAGTGACTCTTTGAAGTGCGGCGGAAAGCACTTCACATAGAGGTTGGTGAAGGGTTCCTCCTTTGGACAAGCAAGGACGTTGCAAGTCATCGCGTTGCTATCCGTCTTCGTGGACGCGTGTGTAAGTTGCAGTGGTCTTGCAAATCGCTCCTCCTTGTTTGGTGTCTCCATAATGGTCATGATCCGATCTGATCCTGGGCAGTCCCTACGCAATGCCATAGCTGAATGGCCGAGCTCTCACCCCCGAGCTCTCACCGAGCTCTCACCCACATTTTGAGGGGCCAAATTAAAAATGAATCCCGCACGCTCCGTGCGGTCAAGACGCTGCAGTACCAAACGGTGATGGTGCGGCCGCCGGCTACAGCACAAGTGCGGTTGCCTGGAAGCTCTGGGAGGCTGAAACCTGAAAGCTCGGATGCACCAAATTATGGAGTTGTTGTGCCAAGTGGGGAGACGCTGCGGAGGGGGAGACACAGATCGGAAGGCAATGGCCTACCTGCTCCTTCTCGCCCTGTGCCTTGTCAAAGTAACTGCTTGAAATTGAGTCTGCTGCTGCGTAAGCTAAAATGACTTCCGGTTTGATGAAGGGTGATGGAAGGTGGCATCATGTGAACTTGGAAAGTTAACTTGTGTGCTGAGCTGAGGTGAGTGCAGTGTGCGCGTCGGGTGTGCTGAGCTTGCATCACAGGACGAGGAGAGGAGCGGAAGGCTCTGTCCACTTCCCAGCTTGAACAAGAAAGGCCGGCGGCATAAGCCACGAAAAGTGAAGTCCGCTCGCCGCTCACTTCAGTTCCAGCCCCAAGCCCCCAATGCGCATGCCTGGTCGCCGCAAGTCCCCGCACAACCCTTCCAGGCGCCCGGCAAGGCTCAGTACCTCGCCGTGCCGAACGCCTGGGCCGCATCAGCGGAGGCGTCGGTTCACTGAGCCACAATTCTGTGGCTCGGTGCTTATTGAAGGAACAGCCCTTCGCACAGCTCAAACCAAAACCCCGGCCCTAAAATCACTGCAAACAAGGTCTCGGCGCCAGCACAAGGTGACTGTCCAATAGGATGACAAAAGGGTTGGGGGGTTGTACAGGTGAGAACTATTTTCGAAGCCACGGCGTCGAAGCTACAAGAGAGTCTGAGAGATCGAGGCACATGCGAACCGTGAAGTGGAAGGGACTTCAGCACATATTCTGAGTAGAATACTAAGACCAGTCCTCTCCTTCCAAGTACGTATGCACACTCTTCCTGAAAGAAAACACGATCAGCCATCGCCGTTTGGCGAAAGCTTACCTGACCTGTCCAGCTGTGAGCTGAGCCTGCATGGCAGTAGGCCATGCAGGATTTACCACAAGGCCATTCTCCAGCAGCATTGTCCTACATCACACCCTCTCTGGTCCATCACATGGACAAGCAAAAACGAAATCCGAATCATTTGCAACAATCTAGTTGTCATAGGTAGACCCTTTCAAAGAGTTCGGAGAAAAGTTGTGGATCGTGAGTGCAGGAAGGTGGCACAATTCTATTCTTTGGTTCTATGGAAGACGTATCCCGACATCCAGCTGGAGCACTCTAAAGATGGCTTGGCC